ATCCCCCTGCTACTCATGGTGGTGACAGGGCATTCTGTCACTCACACACACACACACACACACACACACACACACACACACACACACACACACACACACACACACACACACACACACACACACACACACACACACACACACACACACACACACACACACACACACACACACACACACACACACACACACACACACACACACACACACACACACACACACACACACACACACACACACACACACACACACACACACACACACACACACACACACACACACACACACACACACACACACACACACACACACACACACACACACACACACACACACACACACACACACACACACACACACACACACACATCGCGTCCGCATTTCTACAGCTTGGTATTATAGGTTTTTTCGTGCAAATGTTGTAACCTTCAACATTTAAATTGGTTTGTTTTCCTTTCTTGCCTTCTGAGAAGCATGCCAACCAAGGGTACCCTGAAGAAGGACTCAGACCATCAGAAACCTGACGGAACCCCACCCGAAATAGCCAATGAGAGTTCGAGAGCAGCTCGCTTTTGTTCCAGGTCCAGGCACCTGAGGAAAGCTGGTTTCGAAAAGGAAAAGATGGTTGAAAAGAATGGGGCACCAACCCCTAGACAAATTGAGAAGATGCTGGTTGGTCCAAATATGTCATCTGATATGTGGCACTGGATATCACAGGATCTTAGTCGAAGCCACTGAGTCTTGCGACCGGTACCCAGCCATGTACCCAAACCCCGAGTTTGCAAGCAAGAAGAAAACAACCTTGCGGACTTCGCGCGTCGCTTGGGGAAGAGCTGGGTTCAACACCTGTCTCTTCAAGGGACGGTTTCGGGCTTTGTCGACACTTTGTATTGTATGCCACCCTCCCGACAAGGTCGGGTTGCCAAACATGGGGAGCGGATCGCCGGCAAGGTTGGTTGATTGTTCCCTTGAAACGCTTTTGTTTGGTGTCTTTGAAGCCCCTCATGAGTGTTGGAGGACTGATCAGAATTTGGGTATCTCCTATTCACGACGTCTTGGTGGTTTCTATCTGTTACGTGCTCAAGTCAGTTTCTATTTGGCTTGTCTTAAAATGGTGCAGCCCGGAAAAGGTGCCTTTTGGTTTCATTCAAAACTAGTCAAATCGGGTACCCTGCAGAATTACAAACCCATTTGGGGTTTTTGACAGGGAAACGAATGGGAAAACCGCCATATTGAAAGGAACTTTGGCTGTTTAGTGCCCTTTCTCACCCTTCTTTGTTGGGAGGGTTCGGGACCCTACTAAAATAGACTACAGAAAAAAGTTGGCACCCTTATTCTAAGCTCTCTACTGGAGGACAGAGGAGAGCAAGGTGGCGGTGGGCTCAAAAACATGGACTAAAATGGCACCCTGGTATGTGGAGCCAAAGGCTAACACCTACGTAACCCTTGCTCTTAAATTTCGAGCCACGCCCGTATCACCTATTTGCGGGGTCCCCCTTTTGCAGAATTACAACTTAGGGGTCTTTGAAAGGGAACAGAACGGGAAAACCAGCATATAGGAAAGGACATATCACCATTTTGGGGGGGTCCGTTTTTTGTAAGGCATGGCCAAGTCAGAGTGTTGGGGGACATCGCTTTGCTTCTTGCCCTCGAGGCCAGCTTTACCACCTCGAGAAGATCACCTTCAAGTCGCCCTCCGAGCACACCGTGCAGCCCTTGGAGCCAGCTAAGGGGTGTTGCGACCCGGGAGGGACCCCGTTTTTTTGTTTGTTTTTGCTTGTTTCACCAAGTTTGGACCTTGAAACGTGGCAGTTGCAGTGGGCCCCGCCAGGAACTTGCAACTGGGAAAACACAAATAAGCTGACTGGAGTGGAATGGCCGCATAATTTTCATTTCGGAGCCGTTCTATTGTTGAGGGATAGAAGCGTCCCTTTCCAGATTCAACATCTCTTTCGAAGATGGATGTTCCTTTGGGGCGTTGCACGGGGGAACTCTGGGCAGCCCCGGTTCAGGGGGGGAGTGAGAGCTTGGAATGGTCACCAACAACTACTGTAGCTAGCGAGCACCCGCCCAAAGTAGTTGAGCGAAAAATGAGTTCCACATGTGAATGAGTAAATGATGTTTACCAAAGAGACCCTAGTTACAAGTCACTTCTGAATGTGTCAAGATGAGCAGCTTCGAATTGAATGGTCACCTTTCTGCTTTCAACACCGCCCCACGAACAGTCCTTTTGGGCGGTGATTCGAGCCCGCAACAGGGCTTCCAGTTTGCTCTCACCATGGAACCTGACAGGAGGGCCCTGGAAGACCAACTTCTTTTCAAAGGGACCTGTCAGGCTCCATGTTAATTGGTGGGAGGCGATCCCGTTTTCTTTCATTTCAGGCATTTTGGAGGCAAACGACGAGTTTGGGCTTGGGCCTTCGAAACTTCCAAAGAAGGTCGCTTGGTACAGGATGCACGCGAAGGGCTTCAAGGTCATCAGAAGGGACTCAGGTTAGGTTTACTTTAGAATAGGTGTTATTTCCCCTCTTTGCTTTTAAAAGAATCCACTCTTTCACAAGAACAATGTAGACCCCCCATGACCCCCCAAAATACAACTTCTTCTTCTTTCCATGATGTCTGCTCCCGTTTGTTTTCCCGCGCGGGCTGCACGAAGAAAATACCAAACATAGTGAAAGTTGCCAACGGTAGTTTTGGTTCACAGTATCTCATGGATCTGCCCCCATTTCCCCATGGGAACAACAACTATCAGTACCAAATGTGTGCGTGTGTGTGTGTGTGTCTTTGTTCAAGGGTACCCTTTTTTGGGGTGGTTGTAAAGGGAAACCAATAGGATTTTGAGGCTTCCCTTACTTTCAGACACACGCACATCCCGGCTTCGTGCAACTTTCAGGTTTCAGCCCAGTCTGCCACACACTTTTGTGTTGATGAAGTGGGCACCTTCGCCCACTTCCACACCTCTTGTTTCCTTTGTATGTCTGCGCTTCTTCTGGAAGTGCAACACTTCTGGATGGTTTTTGGTTGCAGGGGAGTCCTGGGAGTGTTTTTCCAATGGAGCTTAGGAAGTGAGAGGATACGCCAAACTGGTCCAGTCAGCCTCCGGGAGGTGCAAGGAGCTCACAATGCCATGGAGGCAGAGCTCTACCACACGGGCAAAGCGCCTCTGCAGGCTGACTGGGCTCTGAATGAAGGTTTTCGCGATGAAAAACACCCTGGTTGATGAATATAGCTTCACTGTTATTGGCAAGCAACTTTTTGTTGGTTCTGTTTATTTTCGAAGGGGGGGCTGCAAGAGACAAAGCTTTCTGCTGCTTTCTGCGACTCTGCCAAGGGTTGATGAGTATAGAGTTATCTAAGTTTCCATAAGTTTCCCCTTCTGGTGGATTTGAACATCATTTGCTGGACCACATTATATAGATGCCATCCGCGAATGGAAACTGGCGAGATTGGGCGTTCCCGTTTGTCCTGTCCACTTCAAAGGTAAACCAAATGTCATGTTGCTCAAATGAGCAAGGGAGGTTAGTGCGACTCATCCATGAGGAAACCGCCGTCATTGAGATTATGGAATCACATTTGGTTGAGATACTGTGGATGGACGAAATCCTGCACCACTTGGAAACCATGGGAACCCGTTGTTTGTGGGCATTTACAGGAGAACCATCATTCCAGGGTTTCTTAGGTGGTGCAGGATTTCGTCCATCCACAGTAGGTCCATGAACAATCTGTGCTAACGTCCAGGCTGCCCTCAGCAGTAGCCGAGAAAGGTCAAGGAGAACATTCGAATCTGCAACATTCATGGAAGTGAAGAGGGGCTTCGCCAAAAGGCCAGTTGTCAGAAAAAACCCTCCGATCGTCAGTTTCCCATGGCTTGCAGTGAGTAAGAACTGAACGCCTTTCCTCCTGCTGGGCCAATGGAGTTGACCCGACGCCTGACACGAAAGAAAACGACCGCCTATGAGAATGTATCATGGTGTTCGTGTTGAATATTATGTTATTTTACTAACTTCAGAGCTCCGACATCTTTGGTTTATAGGTGCTCGGGGCTCGGGTCCGTTGTTTTTTTCTGAAGGACATCCCATCCCCAGTGTATGGAGGGGAGGGCGTAAACAACAAATCAACGCTTCCCCAAAGATTCCTTCTTAGTGGGAAGGACACTGCATGAAGGGGTCACTTGTCTTGAAGGTGCTGAGCAGGGAATGAGGAAACGACCCCTATAAACCATCCCCTATGGTATCCTTTAATGGAATCCCTAGGTTCATTCCCTCATTCCCCACTGAGCACCAGCAAGTTTTTGCATCCTTTGTATCCATTGGATCGATGGCTTCCCAAATCCTGCCATTTGCTTAAGACCATTTGTTATTTCCCCCTGATGGTTTTAAAGGGAATGTATCACTACCTAGAGTCTCCGTGACCCTTTGTTCATAGGACCCGATTAATTATTTTGGGCAATGACCAACCATTTTTTGACCATCCGGCTTTTTCCAGGGGGCGACAAAGCAAATGCTGGAAGAATCAATCTCTCTCGAGGGCGGCTTCAAGCACTTGATCGCCTCTGTCAGCTTCCGGCAAGATGAGAACGACACCGCCTCAGCCAAAAAAATCGCCCGGCGATTTGGGCCGGGGCCGGGCAGTGTCGAGATGGAGACTATAGGTTTTAACCCTCCCAAGCGTTTCTTGGGACCGGACAGCAAAATGGGTAGGGAACTAGGTCCTCCAATAGTGGGTCCTCCAATAGGGGTCCCTATATTTCTCCCATTTGGGCGATTTTGAGCACCTTTGGGGCCCGTGACAGGTGAGTGTTTGTTTGGTTGGGGTGATGTTCTAAGGGGAAATTACTCGGGAGCCCTGAATAGTGGTTGTGAGGGAACATTGGGGCAACGCAAACAAATAAACGTGCTTGTGCCTTTGCTCAGTAGTGCCCTTTCTCACCCTTCTTTGTTGGGAGGGTTCGGGACCCTACTAAAATAGACTACAGAAAAAAGTTGGCACCCTTATTCTAAGCTCTCTACTGGAGGACAGAGGAGAGCAAGGTGGCGGTGGGCTCAAAAACATGGACTAAAATGGCACCCTGGTATGTGGAGCCAAAGACCAACACCTGCTCAACCCTAGCTCTTAGATTTTGAGCCACAGCTGACTCAAGTGGGGACCCCAGCCTTTTGTTCTGAACAGGCGCAATGGGAGCCCTGAGTTTGTCGCGCCAAGAAGCATGGTGTGCCGTGGTGTGCCGTGAAATGACATATGCACTTCGAGCAGCAATCGACGTTGGGTGGACTGGGGGAGATGGGATGCATGAAGCGCAATTCGCTATTATCTACCCGGAGTCTCCGGATCTGACCCTGTAAAATTAGGTTCATGGCCCTGGGGGAATGACCAACCATTTTTCAACCATGGGGACTCCAGGTATCTACATGCTGAAAGGCCTCAGGGCGTGAAAAGTTGAAGACCTGAGTCGAAAGTGACAAGTCTTGTAAGCTGCCATATGCTCGCAATTGTTGCTAGGAATTCTGCGTCACAATTGATTTGACCGCAATGTTGAGTTGTCATTTCGGAATGAGGGAATGCTAGCTCCCCATTTACAGGTTGCCGGATCCTTAACGAGCAAGCATCAAGGCTAAGCGTTCTTGTATTTTTGAGGGCGCCCTTTTCAGGGTTTAAAGGAAGCCTCCGAAAAACATTGAGGCGGTCCAAATCTTTCCTACCTGGAGTCTCCTTCCGACCCTTTAAAAATGGGTTCATGACCCCATTATTTTGGGTAATGACCAACCATTTTTTAAGGGTCAGAAGGAGACTCCAGGTATGTTGACAACCCAAGCAACATGGCATGCTCGAATTCTCCGCAAGCCAACGTTGGATGCACAAAGTCAGTGTCGCACCTGGGAGGGATGAAGCCCTATAAAAACTGGGATTCGAACTACCCACAAATTCTACTGATCAATTCCCGTGTGGCCGTGGGCACCAATGGGATCCCATTTTGGGGTAGGTGAAGTCACCACCCATTTTAGGACCTATTTCAGTGCTTGGATTGAATGGGAGGTTCACCGCGGGCTTTTTCACCCGATTTGGGTTTTCGCCGTTGGCTGAGGAGTGGAACATGTTCCTGAACAGCATCTTCTCTGCCATGCCGCAAGAGAAGGCCGGTTCGAAACCCCGCCTGAAGGTCAGCCAGCGGAACCGGGATTGGAAGTCGTTGCGATCTTTCTTGTCTGTTTTCATTGCGATCTTAGCGAGAACCGGGGGTATAAATAGAGGTCACGAAAAATTGGTCCTTTACTTGGGGATCCACTTCTGAATTTTCAGCTTGTGGAATTCTAGTAAGCTTGCTGGCGCTCAGGGAATGAGGGAATGAGCCTGGGGATTTCCTTAAATGAAACCATAGGGGATGGCTTGTTCGCTGCCATTTCGCATTCCCTGCCTTTCGCACCAGTCAAATTTGCGGATCTGTTGGCTTTTTGCTCACTGAAGGAAGCAACAGCCTTTACGTGAGAAAGGCCACGACTTGTGTGGAGTCGGAGACCCGGGAAAGCTCAGAAAACGAAGAAACCATCTGGAGTTCATTTGTGTTCATACCCATTCATACCCAAATCCATCGGACAAATTTTTGTTTTTGTGTTTTTTTGTTGAAAGTAAGTGTTGGTTCCAAAACGGATCTATCACTGATTACTGAACATGTCTTCTCATTCTTTCCAGGTCAGGCAGAAGCAACTGGAGGATGCTCCTTGTTTATGTTTTTTGCCTAGACGCAAAGGGCTGGTGGATGGCTCCACTCATTGATCCTCCGGGAAGTCTCAGGTACGTCCAATTGCTTTCAACCTTTGCATCTTTGGTTTTGTTCTGATGCTTTGATAAAGTCAGGTGCGGGGTGGCCTGCTGAGGTGTTATCTCATAACTGTGTGCCAAGTTGATTAAATTGGTAGGTGTTGGGAAATGGTAGTTGTTGTTCCAGGACATCTGTACTTTGCGGATGTCTCTTGCAAAGTACCTATGTAAAAGCATGTGCCTAGACACACATGCAAGCACATTTCTAGTACGACACACACATCACAGCATTAGATTGTGTTATCTACCGTTGCTGGCAACATGGACGCCATCGAGTTTTTTTGACTTTTGCTGCAGAGGTCTGCGCGCGTGCAGGCAAAGAGATGGAGAGACGAGAGTCAAACCCATAGCAAGGGTTGCCCTACAAAATTGGCCGGGAGGCGGGGGTGGGGAAACGAAATTGGATTGGGCTAGGCATACCTGGAGTCTCCATGACCCTTAAAAATGGGTTCATGCCCAATATTTTGGTTATTGACCCCATTTTTAAAGGGTCATGGAGAATCCAGGTACTGATTAGATAGCCGCACATCACCTAGGACCAGCACTCCTGACACCCCCAACGCCTGCAACACCTGCACTTCAGCACCGCCAGCACCCAAGTCGCCCCAGATCACTTTAACATGGCCGTTGGATCAAACCGTGATCTTTTGTGCAAATGTTTGAGGTCCAGGTTGTTGATCATCCCCCCACAGGCTGCTTCGGCCACGATCACCAACCCCTACCTCGACCTGCTGCCTCCGGACCGATATGGGAAACCTGAGGATGGTGTCCTTGAACAGTTCCAAGAGCGCGGGTGCCTTATTCATCATGTTTTTGTGCAGCTGGCGTTTTTACGAGTTCCGAAAGCCAAGCTGTTTCACTACTGCCACTCGGCAATTTCAGGGTTTGGTGAGTGCTTGGGAGATGTTCGGTTTGCGATTCTTTATGAGACGCCCGGAGCGTAAAGCAAGAACCATACTTTCGAAGATACTTGGAAGCTGAAGTGCTGATTGCAATTGCACTTGTAAGTAATATACTTCTTGTAGTGCAATCACCGAACAAGGCTTTCTGGCAAAGAACACTAAGAATTGCAATTGTAGTTCTACAAGACCACTAAGACTTATCCCCTGTAGTGCCGGCATAGAATCTTTAGCATGGTTTCGTTCTGAAGCCCATACAAGATACGGAGGGTTGGGAGGGGAAGGTTCATAGAATCAGTCGCTGTGACAGGGGACATTTTGGTAATGACCCCATGTTTTAAGGGTCCTGGAGACTCCTGGTACCGCCAAATGATGGCAGGGGAACAGATGAGAGAGTTTTTTTGTTTTTGCCGAGGGCAATGAGACGCCCCGTGACACCAACAGTACCCAACTGCAACTGGGCCAAGCCCGGCTTGTCTTCCTGAAGTTTCCTTCTGACCCGAATCCAAAATGGTTGGTCATTACCCAAAAAGAATGATAAAATCATGTTAGCCCATGTTTAAAGGCTCAGATCCGGAGACTCCAGGTTGTGTTGGTTCGTTTGTTCGATTTCTATCGGCCCGGTTTTTTTGGGGGATCGGGTTGGAGCTCCCGCTTTCAATGCTTCAGGGGCCCCACTCTGGTCAGATAGACCGATCGGGCATCAAAATCCGCGGCCGCTGGCCGTTTGCTTCGGCCGGACGTTTGACCCCAGGAACCCTCTAGGCAGTTTAGGCAATCGCCCAAGATTTTTGGCCACCAAAGTTCGGGTTGTGTGGAGGTTTCGGACTGACCTGCCACCCTGCTATGAACCCAGGCACTCTACCTGGAGTCTCCTTCTGACCCGAGTCAAAAATGGGTCCAGACCCTATTCATTTTGGGTAATGACCCCATGAAAACTCCAGGTAGGCACAATGGCCAAGGAGTTTTGACCAAAACTCGGGCTCCGGAGGTTTCCTGTGTGCCAGGACAAGTCCTTTGTGAGGTACAAGGGGAGTTCCACGGCGCGCCGAAAAAGTCAGTTCGGAAAAAAGGGGGGGGCCCAGAACATTCCGCGGACGCCGGGGCCCGCTGTTTTGAGGGGACCCGTTTTTAGGTCGGTGTAAAGTGAAACCAAAGTTTGTGGGTCCTCTATTTTGACGCATGCCTTCCTTGGTCATGCTGGGCACAGTGCAATTGATTGGAACAAATCTCCATAGAACAGAAACAAATATGCCCTTTAGGAGCCCCTGGCCACTGGTGGGCACAACAAGTCAATTCCTTGTTGATTGATGTTGGGGGGGGGAACATGTTGCGCAAGGAAACACCCCGCCTCATAATCCGCTGGGCTGCATCTGGGGGTTTCCAGTGCAAAATGCTTTGCACCGACCACACCGGTGCAAGCCTTCAGAATTCCTCATAGTGAGGAAGCCCCACAGAAATGTTCAAGATAGTTGTTGGGTGACTTATAGCACTTTCTGATGTTTGATACAAGCAGTGCAAGTGGGAACCATCTTATCGTTCAAGAGCAGTCGGAGCCTTGAATTTGTAGAAGTGCATGTGGCATTCTGTGGTATTGGTGGCCAATGCAGTCAGTACGGCGTTGTAAGCACAGCAAACCTGGTGATTGTCATGCTCAAAAGTGATCTTAAAGAGCGATCACATTGATCTCCAATGAAAGGCTTCTTGATACTTGAGGATGCCTGTCCTGTGCACCATTCCCTGCCAGCATCACATTGACATGATAGTTTGGTGCGTGGATAGAACCCACTAGCCCAGACTAAATATGGCCCAGTTGTCCGAGCGTTGCTGAGGACATGTTATCAGTCATCAAGGTGACATCCAACGATTCCGTCTGAGAACTGCGTGTCAACCTGCCAGTCTTGCTTTTCCGTGCAGAGTATCGTGTGTGGTGCTTCAGATGCAAACCTAGAATTAAAGGATGATCGCCAGCGAGGTCAGTTACATAGACCATGATTCTACGCATTGATCCGCTTGCAAGAAGTTCAGGTTGAACGGTGTTGCTATTTGAGTTACACTTCGGACAACATTTGGGTATGGGTCAAAAAAAGGTACCCAAAATGGAACCCTGGTAAGTGGAAACATGGACCAAAATCTGCAGTCCCCTGTTGGTTTAATTTTGACCCACACCCATTTGAAGTTTATCCTTGTCTCTGAGGCATCGCAGGATTGAAGCTTCATGGCTTCGACAGCCGCACAAAGGGGGTACGCGGAAATATATCCCGATCTTGCCCTAGCAAAGCAGCAGACAGGCTTGAGCAGTGGTTTGAGGTGCTGGCTTAATTATTTATGGAAACGTTACATTTGAGAGCCTGCCTCTATTTACAGAAGACATGCAGTAAAGGCCGAGCGGAACAATGTGGGCCATGCCACATGGTTGGGTAAGATCACAAATACATCCTGCGTTGGAACACGAGGTCAACTAGTACAACACAGGTGTAGGGTTGCAGAGCGAGGTGGGAACACACAACCTTTCCGTCATGTGGCAAATAACTCATGGATAACAACACCTAGTGCAAGGGATTCAGCACTACCTGGAGTCTCCATGACCCTTGAAAATTAGGGGTCATTGCCTCAAATTGAGGGCTCATGGCCCAGATTTCTACGGGTCACGAGGAGACTCCACCTAAGCATCTTGTATGTTTCTTTCCGCCCCATTCAGCTGATTCCGGTAGTGAAGCGCATGCTCTTTTGGAGCGTGCGTTTCCCGGACATGTACTCGTGCGGTTGGATTTGCAGAGTTTCTGCGCACACAAAGAAAACATGTACTTTTGCAGAGCCAATCATCCTGATACTTATAAGTTGTTGTTTAGGGCGAGTCCATGCAATCTTGCAGCAACAGTAGAGTACCCTACTAGTATGTATATTCTTATACTTGAGAACCTTTCTCAGGTTGGTGCTTTCAGGGTACCTTATACTTCGAGCAACTCATATAGAAGTACTTGATGCGCATCAAAATGGGGGATCCCTGTTGGTGGTCCTTTTGGTTTGCCTTTTGGTTTCCCTTCAAACCCAGCTGAACAGGCTAGCATCCCAAAAAGCGCAAACCCGTTTGCGCCGGTCCTTTTTTTTGAGCTGGTACCCTTTTTGGCTTTCAAAAAAGCACTAACACGGAAACAAACACCCACCATTTTGGGGTCTCCCACCTTAAAGGAGAGCCACACCCAGTTGGGAGGCCGTCGCAGAGCGTGAGTTGCGCGAGTTGCGCGAGTTGGGGGTTGGGAAGGTTCCACCCTGCGAACCGGCCACTTGGATCGCCCGGAGCCCCGGGTCGAGGCCACCCGATTGCTGCTGCTCAAAACTCAAAGCTTTGGACACCACAACCAATTTGAGTCTTTTTTTTCGTGACCCCCCCCCCCATTTTTTCCATTGTGGCATTCTGGCGATCTAGTGTGACCCCCCAAAATATAGTTGGTTTTCTTTTGGTTTCACTTTGAAACCACATGCTGGTTTCCCCACAAAAGACACGGTCTTGGTGGTTCCCATCCATTTCCCAGAAAGATGTTGTTGTTTTGGTTTGACACGACTACTAGTTGCCACACCACTGAACAATCGAAAATCAGGGGATCTGGAACATCGTGAAAGTCCCAAGGACTCAACAATTTGGTGACTTGCCAGGCTGAAATTGTGAAGCCTGGAGGCAGTCCTGGTGATTGGTGATTGGTGACTTAGGGGGTTTGAGCATTCCTTTTCCGCGCCATAACGCAGGGTTGCGCAGCATTTCAAAGAAGCCGCCTAAGGAAAACAGGGCTCCTTAAAAGATACAGTTTGCAACCATTTGAAACATGGCTTTTTCCACCAAAATCAAGGGGAACCACAATTTACAAGGCAATGTTCAGGTGTGTAATGTAAGGATCCCTGGAAAACCCAAAGGAGGTTGTTCACAGCGGTCTCAACATGAGTTCGGAGTTGGCCCAACCTTGCTCGACCTGCTTTGTGAGCGTCACGACCTCCTGAAGGCGGCTTACGTAAATTGCTCGCTCGAAGGGAGTCAGACCTGTCACACCGCTTTTGTACTCGAAGAGTCGTTCAGTAGCATCCCACAGTATGTTCATGGTAGTCATGCTAGCATCAACCTGCGCAGTTTTGAGTTTTGTTCATATGTTTCCATTGATGTGGTTTTTTGGAGGGAAGGGGGGGGAACCTCTTTTGGGGGGGGAGGGGGTGAGGCAACCTGCCCCCTTGGGCGGGGGGGAGTTCGACGGAAGCCAAATCCCGGGCAGGTCTTCTTGGAGCCTCAGCTCGTGGGGCCCAACCAGCTCCTGCAGTTCCGCTCCAGCCGGGGACTCGGAGTCTTCGCGGATACGTGACGGGTTTTTTCTTTTTCTGTGGGCCCATGGGGCATGGTTTTCAACCCCCTTTTGGTTTTGTCATGGTTTCCCTGCAAAACGACCAAAAATTTTCTGCTCCGTCGTGCAGATCGATCTTTTAGATGTGGCTTGGTGTGTGTGTGTGTCACCAACAGTTTTCGACTTGGATCTGGGAGCCCAGAAAAAGGGCTCGCCTCAAATAGCAGACACCCCCAACGAATGTGGTAAGGGCACCAAGCAACCGGGTTTTAACCAACGCGAAACCGGATTCCATGGACCCAAAAGAAGCCTGGGTGAATTATAACGACCTCACCACCCCAAATGGTGATTCATGTGGGGAATAGCCCCCCAACCACCTTATTTCAGGCTGCTGAAATATTATGATTCACCCAGAGAAAGTTTCATTGATTGGCCTTAGGCTTTGTCTGGCCTGCCAGAAAGCACTCGCAAGCGCTTCGCTCGGTGTTTGGGAGGATCTTTATGCACTCCGATCGTTTCCTGATTCCCTCGTGGGGGCTGTGCCCAAGGTTCAACAGACGCTTTTGTTCAAAGCCCACTTTTCCCTGGGCTTGGGTTTCTTCCTTAGTGAGACCCTCCTGGAAGGTTCCTTGGCACACTGGATGTTTACGATTTTGGGTTTGGTAGGGACTTCCTCAAGCACTGACAAGTCAAATCCGCAAAGATGTCGGAGTGCCAGGTTCATGGGAATCCATGGGGCAGCTGCTTCTTATGGCGGCAGATGTCGGACATTTAATGGGTGTGGCCTCAAAGTAAAAAGAAGACAACATCAAACAAATCTAGTTGGATAGTTTTGATGGGCGCGTCCGACACGAAATCGTCATGTTTTGTGCGTTGCAGCCAGGCGACTAAAAAATGGCAGTCATGGCAGAAGGCAACAGGGCATGGTTCGGTGTGCGACGAGTGAAACATTTGACGCAGGTTCAGGGGTGCACCAGCGGAGGTTGGGTGGCCCTCGAAGACCGAGTCTACAGTCCTACCACAACTCCCGAAGTGTTCAATCCCTCAATGAGTTAGTAGCTTGCCGTTTGCGGTAAGCCTTGGCATGAGGCAACCAGCTCGTGTATGTTTCTAGGCTAAAATGTGCTTACATGACCATGACATGTAGTACAACTACCGCGACTACCACAGTAACGGGTCACAGCTTCCATTGATGGATGACAATGCAATATAGCGCTCAGCTTTTTGAGATCCGGGCTAGGTGTTTTGACATCTTGATCAATCAGTATTAATTTTCAGGAGGGTGTACCCTGAACTTGATTTAATGCACTTCAAAGCAATTTGGATTGACAACGTTAGCATAGGACTCTGGTTTTTTGAATCTTCAATGCAGTACCTGCTTGAAGCTTTTCATGTGTAAAGTGTGCTGGCACGACGCGTATGTTTGACCTTAACCACTTTGAAGCGTTTGTGCGGTTTGAAGCGTTCCAAGGCCCCTGTGTTTGGCTTGCAGACGCAATCTTTGATTGCACGCCACCTGGAGAGGCTTTCGCGCGCCGAATCGGACGTGGGAACCACATTGCTCAAGCATATCGTTATCCTCATATTCTCTTGACGGGTAATCTAGGGGCATGTTTATGGTGTTTACGTGCTATTGGTACGTCCGTAGTTGCTTGGAACTTGTGTCGTTCCCGCTGTGTCATTCTCACCGATCGATAAACGAGGCATCAGCGGATACGAGCCCTCGAGATTGGAACCGGCTCCTTGGCTGAAGTGATATCGACGAGTCTGCGACTGCGCGGTCAAAATATCTCTCATCTATAGATTGGTGAGGATGGTTGGGGAATGGCAAGGTGGCCTTGGAAGAATATCATCTTCCGGTATTCCCTCTCGTCGGCATGTAGGTGTGTCCCTTTCGGAGCCCAAATCCGAAGAACCCTCCAGTACATGTTCTTTGTGGAATGGGATCTTCAAACTCCAGTCGATGGCTCTTCGGATGTCTGTGCTTCGGGAATCTTTGGGTGCTCCATTTTTAGCTAACGAATCACGAATCACGGTGCTTTCTCTTTCAGCTCATGAGTGTTGGCTCGAAAGGAAAAATATACAATACCTGCTTGCGTGCAGGTGCTTGACCTTTCATGCTGCGATCATTCTTTGAATTCCTGATCAGTTCGCGTTGCAGTGATCTCTCAAGTTGGTTGACGCACCACCATCTGTCAACTGAGCCTGTGTCGATCCGGCCTCTGCCGTCCTTGGCTTGGCAACTTTGGGATACATCTTCGCCCATTTTATGCCGGACAAATCACCGCAGATTGACCTGGAACTCAAAATATTTTTAGGTGCTTAGGGCAATGCCCTTTTGGCGCCCTCCCCTCTTTTGTTGGGTTCCCTTCCGACTTGCAAGCGAGAAGAACAGAAGGAAAACCCCAAAACAGGATGACGTCCCTTGGATTTGTTGTTCATCCTACCTGGACCCTCAACTTACCCTCAAGAAAATGGGAAATGACTCCACAAACTTGGGGCAGGGCAATATCCCATGTGAGTTGGTACTTTGAGCTGTCCAGGTACCTCAAAAGGTGAACAGATGTGACAAGGGCATCCCCAAAAGAAGGACGGGAGCATTCAGCGCGTGCCGGGTCCGCCCGGAGCGCCTTCGGGCTCGTCGAAGCTGCTGAGGCCAACGACACGAATCCGCCAGGGGTGTCGGAGTTGTGGGACAGGCCTCCGAAGAGCTGGGGCCGCGGGAGCCTTTTTTCCTCGTTTCATTTTTGGCAACGCCCAAGCGGTGTAACTCAGGTGTTGTTTTTTGACCAGAAGGAGACTTAGTGCCGATTTGCAGGGACGGAATGGCAGCGAAAGACATGTGAACCAGTTCGATGTCATAGAAATGTTGCCTGACAAAGGTGGCTCCAACCTTGCAGCCTTGATGCAAGTCATTTCATAGGGGGTCCTTAAGTCTGGACAGCGAATTCACAAAGTTCGGACCCAGATGTCATCCGCGTTTGAAGGTCCAGCGAAGAGACCAACTCGTTTCCATGTTTCAAGGTCAAATGCCTTTCCAAAGCTTGGGATCGCCAACGCTCCGTTCGAGGCCCCAGACTCCTAGCGATACATGCGGGTACCGTCCATCACCATTGCACCTGAAAGATGCGACCTTCCCAAATGACATGTATGAGTTACCCTTCCATAAAACCAACATGGATCTTGACTGCAGCCATGGAAGAAAACAAATCCTGGCATCTTTTGTCTTGTTCCGTGGGAAATGACCATGGCAGCCAGCCCATGCCTTCAAGTTGCCTTTGAACACATTTGGCGAGTTGATCGCTGCCAGTCGCTGGGGGCTGAACAACCGCATGGTGCAAGACGCCCCGGGTCCAAGTGGGATTTGTGGACTGTGATGTGCTGGACCCAGGAAAGTGGCTGCGTTTGATTTGGGGGGTCCTTTTGCGGACCCAGCGGTTGTTTTCCTTTGGTTTGCCTGCCACAGAAAAAAAGGGGGGGTACCGGGGTACCCTGAAAAAAGGGCAAGACCCATGTCGGGAGGTTTCAAGATTGGGGGGTGTCGTCCTTTGAACGTTTAGTTAGACTTTGGAGGGATCATTTGAGGATGTCATTAGTAGCCAGTTTGGGTGTGTCTTGTTTGGGGGTACCAGCTGGCGTTTACCAGTGAAACCAAAGGGACACAACTCATTTGCGCAGTTCCTCATTCTGAGACGCACCCACTTAGCAGACTGATTTATTCCGTCAAGTGTTTGACCACGTGCCATGTGACAACACAATGTTTGAGACGGTTGTAAAGGAACAGCAGCATGACACCAAATATTTGGATGAATTCCAAGTTTGACTCATACCAAAGTGGGTTGATTGCTGTTTCAATGCAAGGAGGCTGACTGGCAAACCACGGCAGATACGCGCAGTTCAACCGGCCGTCATTGACTTGCAGGATGTATGTTCCCCCGCTGCCATGTTCAACATTTGACCGCCTTGCATAGATCAAAGCCAACCGCAAGAACATTGGCATGTCTCTTGGGGTGAGGGAAGCCAACAGAAAACCCTTTCATTTTGGGGGCCTTCTGGTCGAGAAGCACGGCGCTCCTCGATTTTAAGCAGGCCCAACCTGCGCAAGGGGCGGCTTCACGTGGCAACCTCTTTACAGGTCCCAGTGGTGCCCTTTCTGCTCTTGAGCTAGCTTTAGTTGCTCTTTTGCTTTGTGTTGCGCAAGGCAACAATAAATTACAGGGAGTTGTTGTGTTCTGTTTTGCTGCCAGGACCACTATATTTGACACTCAGTCCAGCACAGACAAAAAAGTGGTGTCCCTTTGTTCCATGGCTACAACAACATGGAGTGAAGCGTGCCGCCTTTGAAGGAAGGGTCTCTTACCTCAGATTCGCGGGGATTGGTCGAACCCTGACGAAGCCAACCCCAAAACCGTAGGGTAGAAGGGGACTTTCGGAAAGCGGGCTTCAATGGGGTCATGAACTCATTTTAAGTGTCTTGGACACTCCAGGTGCACATGTGGCTGTGGGTCAACACCAATGGTACCATTTTGGGGTAGGTGCACCACCCATTTTAGTCGATTTTAGTGGGGATTGGGATGTTCACTGGGCGTACGATTTGGATTTTGACCCATGGCCATGTCACCCGAAAGTTTCTTGGGGAGCTCCTCATTTTTGCAGCGTGTTTCTTGGATCCCCGCCAGAGGCCACTTCCGCAGTTTCGGCCCCCCCCGAAAAGCGCGGATGCGCTCATTACAAGGCCTGGCGCACTCCATGAGTGCCAGAATACCATATGGTGAATTTAAATGGGGAGTCCCCTGAAAAGTGGCTGGCGGACATAAATCTCCAGGTAAATGATGTCCACCACAAGGTCCCCAATTAAAATTCGCGCCATATCTTTTAAGAACCATTTGGTGGCAAACAACACTCGGATTTGCTTTCGGGGCCAGTCTCAGGAACTCTATCAGGTCCGGATTGCACTTCATATGTGAGAAAATCCGACCAGTTCCCAACCCAAAACCGGACGCGTCAACGTAAGAATCCGCCACTCCGGCTGGAGGGTTCGATGGTCCAAGCCAGGTCTTTTTCAAGGTTCCTGATTCGGACTCTTCCCGGGGACAAGGGATATCCATGCCTGGGCTACTGGAACTCCCGTTTCGGTTCATTCCCTGAGCTTGTTTTTGAAAATGGGTCCATGACCCCAGTTTGGGGAACGACCAACCATGTTTTAAGGGTGGAGACTCGAAGGGAACGAAGGGAAACTTCCGGGAGTCTCCGGATCGGACCCGGAGAAAAGTCCCCTTCGAGCTTTTTCCGCGGGCCCTTGGGTTTCGTTTCGGGTGAAACGACTTTGCCAAGGCCGGCGGCCGGGAGCTCACCTTGGTGCAGATGGCCAACGCCGACCACAGCCTTCCGAGGCCCAACCACCTCACAGGCGCGCGGCGTGCGGCGGATCGGCGGCTCGGGGCGCGGCGACTCGGGGCGCGGTGCATTCTTTTTCGGGGTCCCAGGGAGATCTGTGTTTTTTTTTTGGGGACCCCAACTCACTTCCCGAGCTCCTGGACTTGTTTATCTGTTTCGGCGCGCGCAAAATTCTTCTCGGCGAAATCGGCGAAATCGGTGGGGTTTTGGTTCTTCGGGGTCCCCATGGAGATGGGGTGGGGCGAATTCTGTCCTTTTTTTGTTTGGGGGGAACCGTCTCTCACTTCCCAAGCTCCTGTTGTTGTTTGTTCTCTTGTTTTTTCTTCTTCTTCTTTTTTTACAATTCTCTATTTGTGTTGGATTGTTTTACCCCTGTCAGGTTGCCTCAAAGGAATCAAAGGCAAACCATGGGGATGGATATGCCGGTTTCTCAAAATGGAGTTCGGACCTACCACTTTGAGAAACGCCCATACAACAACCTGAACATGTTCAAACCTGCAAGAGGAGTGGTTTTCCTTGAACACCAGCACAGAAACGACAACTTCGGAGAAAAAAAAAGAAGGTACACCACATATGAGCAGCTAACAATATCATTGGCAACCTTTTGTTAGACAGGCTATATATATATATATATGTATTGCCTTGATAGGCAGAACAGTTCTTGACTTCAGTGACCACGTCCTGAGCTTTTCGTTGTACCGGGCATACGGGAAGGGCAAATGGGGGCAATCCAACGGCCACATTCTACGCCGAGTACGTGGGATCCACAAGCGGAGCGGGGCCGTGGGGACGTGATGCCGTGCCGCGGTCGCCGCCCGGATGGAGATCCGGGTTGGGACTATGAGTGGTTTCCGCCTTTGGTGCCCTAGACTGATGGATGGTCTTCGGGCGTGCTCGGACCTACTGTACATTTGTTCCCGCGGTGCGAGTGGGGCTTGCGTGCCGGCGTGTAGGCAGTGGAAGTGAATGTGTCTGAAAATTATACTCCCAAATGAACTTTGCTTAGGTTCGGGGTAGTTTTCAATGTTTCTAGACATTAGAGTGCTCGAGTGTGTTTCCCTAGGTTTGCAAATGGAACCCTCATAGGCGAATGTAGGTCTTGGAACTGCACACAACATGTTATTGTCAAAGTTCGTGACCTGATTCACTTGACAGAAATGTTAAAAACACCCCTGCAAAACCACATGTTTGAAGAATTGGGGCAGCTTGGGACCAAAAGTAAGGCGTTTTCGCAGTGTGGGACTGAGCCTTTGGTTTGCCAAGTGTAACGTGGAGGAAGCTCCAGGGCGATTGGCCGCACACATCGACTTGAGTTCACATTTGTTGGGGATTTAAGAACCCAGAGGGTCTGTTGGTATCCCGCGACTTTGGGTTTTGTAGGGACCTCGTCAAATACAGATTACCCAAATCCGCAGGTAGGGGTCCAGGGGGCCCTTTCCTTTGGGGTGCATAGGTAACCAAAGGAAGCCTCCGAAGACTAGAAGGAACATGGGTCTGGAGATTCGCGCCCCATGAGCACCAAGCCTTCCAAGATGCACCCGAGAAGGTCCTAAGGTGTGGCCATGCGACTCGCCAGGCGGCCAGACCCCCTGGTGGGGGGCTCGGAGAGGAAGCGGTGGGCAACCGATTTGCGACTGGAAGTCGCCCATTTTTTTTTTCAATCGTGAGGGCAGAAGAGCTGTGGATCCCAGCTGTACAAAAACACAAACGTAGAACCTGCACAACAGTTCCTGGAAGACCATTTTCCTCTTCAGGGGACCCCTGTGCGGGTTCCCTCAGTCACCGCTGGGACGGGCTGCATAGACGGCAGAATGCCTAAGCGCGGCTTCCATTTTGCTTTTGAGACCTGGAGTCTCCTTCTGACCCTATGGGGTCACGCATGGTCACGCTGTTGGTCCCATTTTTATAGGGAGGGGTATTTATTTTAGGATTTTTTTTCGTTTTTTTTTGGGAATTTTTTTCGCTTTTGGCTTCTTGGCTTCTTGGCTTCTTGGCTTCTTGGCTTCTTGGCTTCTCGGCTTCCTGGCTTCTTGGCTTCTTGGCTTCTTGGCTTTTCGGCTTCTTGGCTTCTTGGCTTCTCGGCTTCTCGGCTTCTGGGCTTCTTGGCTTCTTGGCTTCTTGGCTTCTTGGCTTCTTGGCTTCTTGGCTTCTTTTCGGCTTCTTGGCTTCTCGGCTTCTGGGCTTCTGGGCTTCTGGGCTTCTTGGCTTCTTGGCTTCTTGGCTTCTTGGCTTCTTGGCTTCTTGGCTTCTCGGCTTCCTGGCTTCTTGGCTTCTTGGCTTCTTGGCTTTTCGGCTTCTTGGCTTCTTGGCTTCTCGGCTTCTCGGCTTCTTGGGGCTTCTGGGCTTCTTGGCTTCTTGGCTTCTTGGCTTCTTGGCTTCTTGGCTTCTTGGCTTCTTGGCTTTTCGGCTTCTTGGCTTCTCGGCTTCTGGGCTTCTAGGCTTTTCGGCTTTTTGCTGGTTTATGCGGCTTTTGGTGGCTTTTTGGCTTTTCGCATCCTTTGCATTCCCAGTTCCTCTTCGGCAGGTGGCGTTTTTCCGACATCATGGGGGGGGCTGCCGCCCCCCCCAACCCCCCCGCTACGTTTTAGATTTTCTGCAGAGATTTAATTAGTTGCACCCCTAGTTGAATCATCAATTCTTCGAACATCATGGGGGGGTTGCACCCCTAGTTGAATCATCAATTCTTCGACCATCATGGGGGGGGCTGCCGCCCCCCCCAACCCCCCCGCTACTTTTTAGACTTTTTGCAGAGATTTAATTGCACCCCTATTCAAATCATCACTTCTGCAAACAACATCGTGGGCGGCAGCCCCCAACCCCCCCGCTACTTTTTATATTTTTTTACAGGGATTGACATGCCCTCCTACTTGAATCATCATTTCTTTGACCCCGTCACACGATTTGTGGGTGATGCTAGGGATGTTGGTGGGACATGCGGGGTATATTTCGCGAGAACATGCTGTAAAATACGACACTTTACTGGCCCGGCAGAGATTGAATTGCACCCCTGTTTGAATCATCACTTTTTCGAGCATCCAATTTCGCGAGAAAATGCTGCAAAATACGACATTTTAGGTAATCTGTGTAGTCCGTGTATGTCTGTATGTATGCATTTCTTCGAACATCATAGGGGAAGCCACCCCCGCCAACCCTCCCGCTGCCTTGTAAATTCTATCACACCCTTTCTTGAATCATTGCACCCCTACTTGAATCACCACTTCTTCCGACCTCATGGGGGGGCTGCCGCCCCCCCCCAACCCCCCCCCCGCTACGTTTAGATTTTCGACAGAGATTTAATTAATTGCACGCCTAGTTGAATCATCAATTCTTCGAACATCATGGGGGGGGGCTGCCGCCCCCCCCAACCCCCCCGCTACTTTTTAGACTTTTTGCAGAGATTTAATTGCACCCCTATTCAAATCATCACTTCTGCAAACAACATCGTGGGGGGGCTGTCGCCCCCGCCAACCCCCCCGCTACTTTTATATTTGTTTACAGGGATTGACATGCCCTCCTGCTTGAATCATCATTTCTTTGACCCCGTCACACGATTTGTGGGTGATGCTAGGGATGTTGGTATTTCGCGAGAACATGCTGTAAAATACGACACTTTACTGGCCCGGCAGAGATTGAATTGCACCCCTGTTTGAATCATCACTTTTTCGAGCATCCAATTTCGCGAGAAAATGCTGCAAAATACGACATTTTAGGTAATCTGTGTAGTCCGTGTATATTCAAATCATCACTTCTGCAAACAACATCGTGGGGGGGGCTGCCGCCCCCCCCAACCCCCCCGCTAGTTTTATATTTTTTTACAGGCATTGACATGCCCTCCTACTTGAATCATCATTTCTTTGACCCCGTCACACGATTTGTGGGTGATGCTAGGGATGTTGGTGGGACATGCGGGGTATATTTCGCGAGAACATGCTGTAAAATACGACACTTTACTGGCCCGGCAGAGATTGAATTGCACCCCTGTTTGAATCATCACTTTTTCGAGCATCCAATTTCGCGAGAAAATGCTGCAAAATACGACATTTTAGGTAATCTGTGTAGTCCGTGTATGTCTGTATGTATGCATTTCTTCGAACATCATAGGGGAAGCCACCCCCGCCAACCCTCCCGCTGCCTTGTAAATTCTATCACACCCTTTCTTGAATCATTGCACCCCTACTTGAATCACCACTTCTTCCGACCTCATGGGGGGGCTGCCGCCCCCCCCCAACCCCCCCCGCTACGTTTAGATTTTCGACAGAGATTTAATTAATTGCACGCCTAGTTGAATCATCAATTCTTCGAACATCATGGGGGGGGGCTGCCGCCCCCCCCAACCCCCCCGCTACTTTTTAGACTTTTTGCAGAGATTTAATTGCACCCCTATTCAAATCATCACTTCTGCAAACAACATCGTGGGGGGGCTGCCGCCCCCGCCAACCCCCCCGCTACTTTTATATTTGTTTACAGGGATTGACATGCCCTCCTGCTTGAATCATCATTTCTTTGACCCCGTCACACGATTTGTGGGTGATGCTAGGGATGTTGGTGGGACATGCGGGGTATATTTCGCGAGAACATGCTGTAAAATACGACACTTTACTGGCCCGGCAGAGATTGAATTGCACCCCTGTTTGAATCATCACTTTTTCGAGCATCCAATTTCGCGAGAAAATGCTGCAAAATACGACATTTTAGGTAATCTGTGTAGTCCGTGTATGTCTGTACGTATGCATTTCTTCGAACATCATAGGGGAAGCCACCCCCGCCAACCCTCCCGCTGCCTTTTAAATGCTATCACACCCTTTCTTGCAGAGATTTAATTGCACCCCTGTTCGAATCATCACTACCCCGCTCTGTTTTTCTTAATTGTTTTTTTGTATTTTTTTTGCTGGGATTGAAATGCCCTCCTGTTTGAAGCATCATTGTTTTGACCCCGTCAACCCGCCAGCTACATTTTTGGATTTTGTTACCCACAATTTGTTGGTGATGCTGGGGATGTTGGTCGGACATGCGGGGGATGTTGAAAACGATGCTGGGGATGTTGACGAGCTAGTGTAAAATGCGTCAATTTCGCGAGAAAATGCTGTAAAATACGACATTTTGCTGGCCCGGACGAAAAACGAAAAAAATTCCCAAAACAAAACGAAAAAAAATCCCAAAATAAATCCGCACCCTTTTTATAGCATGTCGACTCCTGGCACTTCGAGACCCTCAATGCAACCTTTGTGCCATTGGGTTGAAGCGGGTGCTCGCTTCTGGATATTCAAGCCGGTTAATCAGGCCTCCCCTGTTACAAATGAATCTCCGGCGCCTCGTTTCCTGGCTTCAGAGTGACTGCGCCGAGTCCAAGTCGGACCCCTCTTGCTGAATGCAAAGGTGGCGGCATTGGAGGGCCCCTCATTTTGCCAGGTGCCCATACACCCATTCAGTAGATGCAGTTGTCTCTGTAGGGAGGCGGGAAGCTTCGTGCTGCGCCTGCAATCCGAGCTGCATTTGGGTCTGCAAACAAAGCTGCGGATATATATATATATATATATATACACACTGTATACTGTTGAAGCCGTGGTTGTGAGATGCTTTCCTGCTGCTGCTGCTGTTGCTGCTGTTGCTGCTGGGTTTCTACTAAACTTACCAGCATTGCCTTCAAGGCCGTACACACACACACACACATGCAAGAAGCGACCATGGAGTCAAAAGTTGCATCTAAATGAATCATCGCTGTGCCAATGAAACCGGCTTGAACACATTTACGTGTGAGCTGTCCCAGGCCGGAAAGCGACTTCGAATCCGTGCGTGCTTTGTATGTCTAGGATCAGCATGCTCTTGCTCCTGCTGCTCGCGGCGCTGGCCCTAGCTTCTGAGCTTTTTCTCAGGTAAGGAGTTGGTTTTGATTGGGTACCCTATGTCACAGCCCGAGGCATAGCTTTCATGGGGACAAAAAGAAAACCATGAATTCTGAGGAGCCCCGTTTTGTGGGGCAACCCCAGATGTTTGAACAACCAACCTTTGACCCTCTTGAGAGGGAAACCCGCAGGTGTGCAAACAATATTGGATTCAGCATGGTTAAACAAGGAGACACGGTTGCATGCTTCTCCATACCTGGAGTCTCCAGGACCCTTAACAAATGGCGTCATTAATAGTGGGGTGCTGAGCCCATTTTCAAAGGGTCACGGAGACTCTAGGTACCCTCTTTCCAATCATTGAGGCCGACAGTGTGGGGAAGACAGCAGTCTGGCCGAAACAGCCTCCCCTTCGCATCCATGATTGTTAAGGGCACACAAGGCCGTCAATTCCAACAGCTGGTTGGTTTCTGGAGAGGGACTCCCCCGTCGACAGTTCGCGCCAGCTCGTTGGTATCTGGGCTGGCTCTGCTATGGGAAAACCCAGAGCTTGTGACCCCAAACACATTCGCGTTGGGGTCAGACCGAATGGTCCTGAGGTCGTTGTGTTTTTGACACCTTCATGGAAGTGGCTTCTAAAGCTTCCCTTAAAAGCTACAAAGGAAGGTAGTCTTTTAAAGCCCTGGCAACTCCATGATAGTTGGAGGACAGACGTAAAATTTCATCCAATCTGGGGCGAATTTCAATGACGTGGGGTTTGACCGATTGCCAGGATGAAGGACCCCAAAGGGGAGAATTTTCAACCCAAAGGGGCCTGCCAATACGCATTCCTCGATAAACAGATCGTCTCGGTTCTGTTCAGTCTGCGTGTGCTGCTGCGGGGCATGTTAATTATTGATTAGAAGAGAATTAGAATTCATTCCGCTTGCAGGCGTCCTATACATACAAACATACAGACATTCAGACATACATACAGACAGTTAGACAGACACAGAGACGGACAGACCGAAATACAATACGTTACCTTACACTACATTACATTACATTACACTACATTACATTACATTACATTACAGTACATTGCATTGCATTACATTACATTACATTGCATATATACATACATACATGTATTACATTGCATGACGTTACACTACATCGCATTGCATTCTGGGAACTCACCATATGATTGCATGTTTCCAGAGGATCTCCGGCAACCTCTTGTGCATTCAAGGTTGCAAAAGTGCCCCATGCATTTGGCTTGGCCTCACACATGTAGCTCGAGATTTTACCTGTTGCGAGATCTTGAAGCCTCGCGCCAACCCTGAAGGGTTCTCACAGACCGAAAAGCGCTCCGCGCCCAGTTGATCGCCTGCTTGCTGCTGATCTGCTGGCATCTTTGCTGAACGAGGTGGAATGAGGTAGAGCCAGGCTGACAAACCGATCACAATAGATTGTCTGACTTCCTGGTGGAATGTTGTAATTTCGCGGTTCTTCAGAAGGAGGCAAGTTTGGGGTTGCGTGTTCATCAGGGCACCATCCAGTTTTCATTGGTAGGTGGATGTCCACCGTCCCCAGTTGTGAGGTGTTCCCTCATTTAAAATGATGGCCATGGGGTACGCCATTTTGGAGAAACCGTGTACCAGGCAAGCAGTTCTGGTTGATCCCCGCTGTTCAACCCTTGTGTTTAACCCAGCACAAACCTCGTCTGGTTTTTTGGGGCAATGCTTACAGAAAGAATGTGGGGAGCAGCGCATATTTATAAGACTAGTGAGTCAGCTAGCTGCACTTCCAGAAGTGCAGTTATCCTCGGCATGAAGCAGTGAACCGAGGGCGCTTGAGTATGGCTGTCAACAGTTGGGTCGGCTGCGGTCCAAAACTAGAGACGGGAAATCAACCAGCAGGAGATGTTCGGAGTAATGAATAATAATCATAATGGTATGACCTAATACTAAGACAAGTTGAGATGATGAAGATAAGACCAAATGTACGGCTCTGAAATGCGTATACTATCCCAATATATCCTGTCGTGTTTCGGTTGTGCATGTTATGATATATCGCCTTCTTAAGCAGCTTCCGCAACCTATAATGAACGAGCTATGGCATGATATCAGATTATAGGATTATAAAAAAAATACACCGTCCTTGCGATAGATTCAACCTCCCAGGTCTTGCTACCCTACGTCGCCATCACCAGTTTCAACATGTAGCGTTTTTTTGTTTTGTTTTTGTGAGCCCCACTATGTTATTTTGTTTGAAGACTGGTTTGGTCTTGGGTATGAAAGAATCTTATGCCTTGCACATCTGGAGAAGTCGCTCTGAGCTCTTGGGGACGTTGGCGTCAAGCTCACGCCCATGGCACGGGGAAAGCGCAAAACCGGCCTGGGCATCTGAGAAAGCACCGCCCGTTTCCGCTGGTAAGAAATATACGCGGGTTTGCGACGGGGGAATCGCCCACGAAAAAGTTTCAGGGTCAACGTGCAGCCTGAAGAAGCTGGGCTTGACTCTCAGAGGTGGAACATTGCTGCCTATAGGCGTCCTTTTGATCGATTAGTTGGATGAAAAACAGATGGGTTCCACTGGTTTAGGTGGGGTTATGTTGCTGCCTGTGATCTAGGGATAGATTCACAGCTTGCCACAACAGACATGTAGAGTCGGCCAAGGTGCCAACGGATCGATAAAAAAACTGTTGTCACTCCAATCCATGGCACGTTTGGTTTCTTGAGAGCCGTTGTTTTGGGCTCTCAAACCTTGAAATCATGCTTTTCTTTTCAACCTTGACTCTGCTACCTGTGTCAGATGAGTGTGTCTTTTGTTGAGCCTAATTACTCCCATTTTTTGTGGTTTTAATGGAACACCAACAGGAATATGACCATTTTGTGGGTCCTCTCCCCAACGAAAAGTTCCCTGGATGCTGAAAGACTTGCGCAGGGCTGCCAAGTTGAACAGATCCGCCAGCTGAGGATTAGACAAGGCACACGGAAGAAGCGCAAGGACAGTGGGGCCAGGATCATTTTTCCTCGAACAACCATAGATGTACTTTAAAAGGGGTCCTTGTCGTCAGATGCGTTGGGGGGCAAAATGCAGCGGTATTTTGACTTCGTAGTTTTGAATCAGATCGACAGGGATCGATCACTCGGCATACGTACGTGCGTATACATATACATTGTATGTACAATATACATATACATATATGTGTCATTAGTTCCTTTCATGAAAAGAGTTGTGTCTTTTGTTTTCTTAATTTGCTGTTTTTGGTTGATTTATGCATGTACTGATTGTTATTTAGTTTTTTGGTTGTTAAGTCACTCATTTAGCTCTGTATGTGTGTCTCTGAGTTCCCCTTCAAACTCGGGCAAATATTTGACCTCTCAATCCGGGCATCCATTTCAGCCCCGGACTTTTGCCGCCGCAAGGGTCCCAGAGCTCTGGACTTGCTGGTCCAGGTCTTTTCTTCGGGTGTGTTTTTTGGGGAACCTCCTCGTGGTCGGTTATTGAAAGGAAACCAAGAGGAAACCCATATTTCTGCAGGTCCCCAATTTTCAGACAAGCCCATTTGCTGTCTTGGTTTAGTGGCTGAAAGCAAAACCCAAGTTGCAAACTTTCAAGACCCGAGATTTAAACTGGGGGCTTGCAAGAGCGCCCTTGCCACAGGTCTGGGAAACAGTAGCCTTCCCAAAAGGAACAAACCCCGTTGGTCACTTGATGCATTGTGGCTGCGGTAGTTCACATGGGTGTGGTCAATAAAAAACCACCAGGGGACCGCAGATTGTAGTCCATGTTTCCATTTACCAGGGTTCCATTTTGGAGACCTATGTTTGAACCCCAGCCATATTGGACTTGCTTTCAACAGCGTGAATTGGTCATCGGATTTGCAAAATGCCAGAGGATCAGTGAAGAAAGGAATGAGGTCAGCGAAAGCTTGGATGTTTAGAGCAAAGACAAATTGACAGATGGGAAGGGATTCACATGCACGCCCTGGCAGGCGTGCATCCAAGCCTTTTGACGATACAACAAATGATTAAGACATGCTATTTTGAGACTGCCTCCTTGAACAAACACAACACAACAACACAACAAATGCAGTTCATTCGTCTTGGAGGTGGTTCTGGAATACAGGAGATTCCACCTTAACAAGTATATGGTTTTGAGGTTCCAGAACAATTCCTAGGATACATATGGGCTAAAAGAATCATCAGCTGAGTATCTCTTTGAGGTTTTTGAGACGGGGCTTTTTGAGGGTTGCTTTAGAGGGATTTTTGCCGGGTCCCAACGGAAGACACACCCAGATGATTACCTAAAAGCAGAAAAATGGGCCTAGGGCACTTGAAGACCTTGAAAACCCTAAAGTTGAGTTCCCTCAAGATTCCCTCAAACATTGGTTGCCCCAAAATTTGGGGTGAACTCCCTTTTTGTAAGGGTAGTTAAAGGGTCCCTGTTCTTGATCTCCGCTTTCGAATCGCAGGATGCCTTTGGTGCAGAGCTCAGCCTTATGGTTTTTTGGATTGGACGCCTTCGGATTCGGACTCGCGGCCCCTTTTTTTGGGGGAGGGTACCCCATGTTCGGTGGTTTTAAAGGAAACCAAAAGGAAAGGCAAAAGCAACAAAAAATGGTGGGTTCTCAGGAACACGCACTTCCAAGGATCCCTGTTGTATTTTTCGTTACTCGGGTTCCATAGGTGGAGGTTACATGTTCTATATTCCACAACAACGCCCCACTGAAATCATGCAACATGTCGAGGGTATTGATTCATGTCAGGGGTCGGAGCCTTAGGATGGTTTGGGTGAAAAGAGGTCAAGATATCTCCATGACCCCTTAAAAATGGGTCCACGACCCCATTATTTTGGATAATGACCAACCATTTTTTAAGGGTCAGAAGGAGACTCCAGGTTCTCAGAAAGCTACCAAGGGACCCGGGGGACCCGTCGCGCCCAGGAAGGCAAGTTGCTGGCGGCTGGTGCGACGATGACTCCGAATCGGAGGAGGAGGGATTTCTGGAGCAGCAGCAGCTGCAGCAACAGCAGCTGCAGCAGCAGCTTTGGCCTCAGGATTTGCGTCCGGTTTGCAACTCTCAAGATGCTAATGTGGGTATGGGTCAAAATTAATCCACCAGGGGACCACAGGATTTAGTCCATGTTTCCACTTACCAGGGTTCCATTTGGGTACCTATTTTTGACCCACAGCCATGTTGCCTTCTGTTTCTTCAATGAAATGCGAAGTACTCGTGTTCCATCATTCTGGACGTCTTCTTCCAAAAAGGCACCATGACTTTTTACGTTTCTTCAAGTGTACACCTCTGGACAGGGGTGCCCAAGTATTTCTCAGGGGTCAACAGGCAAACCCTGCAGATGAAAGGACAGCCGACCGTCAAATGCTTGTTCACGCAATGATGGTTGCAATGCTCAAGTTGCTGGCAGCAAACACAGGAACTCCGCGAACTTTCATGATTCGCTGAAATGAGGGGTCTTTTTGTTTTCTTCCTTTGTTTATTATCTTAGTCACTTCTTTGCAGTTGATGAGTTGCAGTCAATGCTTTTGTTTCCAATGCGCTCGACACTTGGGATCAGATCTTGGCAAAGGGTGTGATCAGCACGCTCTGGTTAACCTGCTGTAGATGGGGGCAAGTACCAAACCTTGAACGGCTTTGGTGACAGGCTGATTCATCTTATGTAACTTGCTCACGCACAAGTGCATCAGATGAGTTACATGTGTGTCAATGTCAGTATTGTTTCTCGGATTTTGTTGCAAGGGTGGACATTTCAGAAATGGGGTGGAGAAACACGGTCCTTGGATCGGAAATCCATGTGTTGGCTTACGGGGCCTCTCGCGTCCTTGCCGAGACGAGCTTCTCTTGGCCTTTTTTTTTGGCGATCCACTCAATCTCAGTTGTTTTGCGGTTTTGTATGGGGGGGGTTCCTGCGTGTTGTCATGGGCCCATGTTACCGTTGCCAAGTTTGTGCCCTTACTTTGATATGGTCCACAACCCTCCGTGCACCCCTCCCACGATTCGATGTTCCAGGAGACCTGATCGGAAGTCTGTTGAAGCGGGCGGTGAGTGTTGGGCGTGTGGTTTTGGTGTGGTCCTGTGCGGGTTTTGGGATGGTTTTGGGGTGGTTGTGGTGGAGTTGGTCAGAGTCCGTTTTTTTAGGCTGAATTCGCTTTCCCGAGCTCATCAGTCCATTTGCCGCTCACTCCTTACAACAATCACACCCAGCGAGAGACCTTAAGCTCACCAATTTTGGTTGCTATATCAACCAGCTTGATAGCTCAGCGTCTTCGTTTAGATCCCAGGAGACGTGGCCGTGGGTCAACACCAATGGTACTGGGTCGTACTATTTTGGGTAGGTGCACCACCCATTTTAGTCCATTTTAGTAATTTAGTGGGGATTGGGATGTTTACTGGGGGTACCGGGCTTTGACCCATAGCCACATGTTCGGCCCAGACAAACTCTCGAGGATGGCCTTTGCGCAAGCACAAGCGCCGCCGCCCCCGGCCCTCGCGCCGCTGCCTGACGCGCCGCTCGGATGGGAGGGCTTCCCGGAAGCGAGCGCTCGACGGGAACGCGGGGAAGGAGGTGTTGCTCAAAACCAAGGGCACTTCTGGCTGGGAGGGTTCCCCTACTAAAATAGACTGCAGAACAAAGTTGGCACCCTTATTCGAACCTCTCTACTGGAGGACCCTACTAAGGACCCCCTTTAAATTGATGTCTTTTCGGTTTCCCCTCCAAACTAGCCGAAAAGGGGACCGCAATTTGGAGAAACACCCATATGGTGATGAACCTCCTCCAACATGATTGGTGAGATATGATCTTTGCAAGTGGAAAGAAGATACCCTCTTCCCCAGCTTTCAAGCGTCAATTGGGGCCTTTTTCAGAATGGTTGGCAGACATACGCCATCTCCATGCAAATTCTGAAATGGTTGTGTCTATCATGTTCTCATGATCTCCTTAATGATTACATGTGCGTGTCTTTGCTTTCGGCATGTTTTGAACCACTTGTGTTCCTACCGGCTTCTGTTGATGACATTCGGACATGTTCAAAAGATGTTGAAATATGTAGCCCAATACGCTTGTTGTCATATACAGTTGTACAGTTGAGACTACCGACATGTTTTGGCTCAAGAAAATAAGGCGCTCCGAAGCGGCCAAATATATTTTCATGGTAGCGGGGAGCAGTAAAGGTTCAGAGGGACCTAAGCGCTCAATTTGGTACTACGCCAGCAGAGGGCGTGGATCAGTACCGCCTTGGAGGCGGGGAGGCCGCGGACGCGGCAGGAGCCCGGCGGCGGTAGAGCCGCCAGGCGAGGAGGGCGCTTCGGTCGTGCCAGAGACCGAGGAGCTGCCCGAAGAGGCCCCGGTGGAGGAGACCGGGCCTGAGCAGCTCGGAGGAGCTGAAGAGGGGCCAGAAGAATTGGCCTCGGGACCAGATTGGTCCCCCAACGAGGAGAGCGTTGCCCAGCAGGCAGCTGAGACAGAGAGGATCTTAGCTAAGCTGCTGGAGGAGCCAGAGGAGCCAGAGGAGCCACCAAAGAAGAGAAAGAAGGGAGAGGATAAGCCCCCAGAGCCGAAGAAGCGGCGCGCAAAGGGTGGATCGTCAATAGATCCACAGAGGCTTCAGCGTCGGACTCGGACGCCTGGGGCACCTGGCGATCTCCTTTGATCGCCCTGGCAGCCCCGTCCTCATCGCATCCGGAGGCTGCCAGCAGCACAGCGCCAGCACCAGCAGCAGAAGCAGCAGCTGAGGAAGAGGAGGTCCAAGTAGAATCAGAGGAGGAGGCCCCTGCAGCAGCTGAGGAGAAGCCCGAAGAAGCAGGCAAGGGAAAGGGCAAAGGCAAGAAGGGCGAGAAGAAGAAGAAGAGCAAGGCGCCCTGGCCCCGCGTGAAGGAGAACTCAGCCGGCAAGTGGAAGGACGGACGCCGGTCCAAGGAGGCGAGGTCCTACCGGTTCTTGCGGGGCTTGGTCAAGTTGAACTTGAAGCGCAATAACCCGATCCCGCCTGCAGTCCAGGAAGCCCTCGATAAGTTTGAAGAAGAGTACGGCTACGAGGTGCCTGTCCCCAAAGGCTTTGGCAGGAACGTGCAGCCAAAGTCCCCTCCAGGTGGTCCAAGGCAAAGGCCTAAGCGGGAGTTGACCCGCCGTAAGAGAAGGCCGACCAGTGGAAGCACCTCGGAGGAGGAGGAGGAGCCCACTGCCAAAGCAGCCGCAGCAGCTGAGGAGGCAGCAGCACCGGGCGCTGAGCCAATTGCATTGCTGCCGGAGGTGGCAGCCGCGGCGAAGTCTGCAGGCCGCGTGATCAGTGTGGCGCTAGCCACGCAAGAGGCAGCATTGCGCAGAGTGCGTGCAGGCAAAGCCACCCCGGAGTCTGCATTGGCCAGCAACTACCGCCTGAGGAACGCGGCAATCGCTCAGGAAATTGCCGAGAGCAAAGCACCGGCTCAAGGAACAGCCGGAGCTGCCGTAGAGGCAGCGATCAGGGCCCAGGTGTTGGCCCGTGACAGCCTAGCAAAGGCTTGCAGCTCGTGCGACGAGAGGCACCGCGCCCAATACCCGTGGGTGTTGGAGCGTGCGGCGCGCATCGCGAGCCAAGGCAAGGGCGCGAAGGGCGCGACGCCTATCGCACCTGCTGCTGTCACCACTGCATCAAAGGCCCTTGCAGTGAACCCCAAGCCCGCGGCGAAGAAGCCGCCACCTGTGCCCAAGACAGCATCCGGAAAGCCTGCAGCAAAGGTCAAGTTGCAGCCCAAGCTCAAGCTGCAGCCCAAGGGACAGCCCGAGGAAAAGCCGGGTGAGGAAGTGGCCAAAAGCAGTAAAGGCCCACCGGTGTTTCTCAAGCCCAAGCAGAAGCCACCGGGAGCTCCGCAGCCTAAGTGGTCCGGAGTCCGCTTTCCGACTGAGCAGGAGTCCACAGACTCGGAAACCTACACGTCGGGGTCCGAGATCTTTGTGGAGGAACCCGCCGAGGATAGCGAGGCAGACGTATAGTCTGCCGAGGGCCAATGGCAGAATTAGCTGCCATAGCGCAACTGCAGCAGATCCTTGAGGAAAATAGAGTGTTGCGCGAGCAGCAACAGAGGCAACAGGAACAAACTGCCCTGTTGACCCGGCTGGCCGAAAGCATGACAGAATTGGCCAGGAATACAAAAAGAGAGGAACCCAGGAAGCTGTTGGTTGACACAAAGGGGATTGGTAAGCCGGAACGGTTCAACAATGAAGAGCATACGTTCCGGAAGTGGGTGCGTTCAGTCACAAACCTTGTTGTCAGCATCTTTGGGAAGGAATTTGAGAAAGTATTGGATTGGTGCCTCGATCAGGATGGGCCCGACGACATCACTGTGGACGAAGTCGAGGCCGCGCATGGGGAGCCGGACGGGGTGTCCGGTTTACCAGACATAGGGGACCAATTGTTTCGTTTGCTTTCTTCCTTAACCCATGGAGAGACTGAGGACTTGGTGATAGGCTGTTCTAATGGGTTCGAAGCGTGGAGAAGAATCCACCGCCGGTGGGATCCCCTAACCGCCGGACGGAAGAGAAACATACTCCGGGCGATATTGAACCCAGAACGTGTGAAACGGTGGGAAAATGTGAGGGCCGCAATAGAGCAACTAGAGGACCTTTTCAGGCGATATGAAAATCGCAAGAACGAAGCTGGTGAGAGAGAACGCCTGTCAGAAGACATAAAGGCGACCAGCTTGGAGTTGCTTGTACCCTCAGACATTGAACGCCACCTTTTGTTGAACAAAGGACGCCTCACAACCTACGCACAGATGAAATCAGAAATTGACCTTGTGATTGAATCCTCTTTGGGAAGTAAGGCACCGATTTCACGCCCTGGCGCAGCATCCTCATCGGACAGTGGTCCGGCGCCCATGGACGTGGACAGCCTCACAAAGGTCATCAACAGCTTGGTCAAAGGCAAGGGATCCGGTGGAAAGGGCAAGAGTAAGGGCAAAGGTAAAGACAAGGGCAGTGGGGGAAAAGGTTCAACTTCCAAGGACATAGTTTGCTTTAATTGCGGTAAAGCCGGGCATAAAGCTGCGGAGTGCTGGAGTAAAAAGAAGGATGGCTCAAACAAAGGCTCAAGCAAAGGCTCAAAAGGAGGTGGAAAGAAAGGCAAGAGCAAGGGTAAGCACAAAGGAGCGAACTCACTGGAAGAGGACACAGGTGAGGGAGCCCATGAAGAAGAACAACCCGAAGGAGAGCTCGATGTGGGTATGTTTGAGCTGGGTGCACTTACAGCTGGAGAGGACCTCCAGGCTATGGAATGGGTCCGCTTCAATTTGGACACCGGTGCAGCCCAGACAGCAATCCCATCGGACTGGGCAGACAAAGTGCCGGTCAAGGAAGGAACTGAGGTTATGTTCAAGACGGCCTCAGGTGAGCTGGTCCGTGGGACTGGTACGGGTGTGTTCAAAGGAACCGGAGAGTATGGGCACTGTTGTAGTGTCACAGGCCCGTTGGCTCCGGTACACAAACCCTTGGTCTCGGCCTACAAATGCTTGAAGCACGGCAGAGTTGCGGTGCTAGACGAGCATGGCGGGAATCTGATCCCGCAGGACTCCAAGGTTTCTGGCAAGATCTTGGAGCTCATTGAGAAGGAGAAGAACAAGCACCATGCGAAGGCATGGATTCCGGTGTACCAGGAGAAAGGTGTCTACAACTTCTACCTGAAGGCGAAGGCACCTACTCAGGGTTTTGGGCGGCAGCCCACAGTGGTGTAAGTCCGGCCCAAGCCATGGCAGCGGCAGATGATGCCGCGCCCGCCGGACGAGGAGATGAGGACATGGGAGCACCTGAGGGCCGACCTGAGGGTGTTCCTGAGAGAGAAGAGGAGAGTGAGGAGATTGCACCGCCTGCGTTGGTGCACGCACCAGCGAACCCGACAAGGGCGGAGGTGGACGAGCATGAGTCCACAGGCCATGTTCAGTACAGGACTTGGTGCCGGCATTGCGTTGCTGGGAGAGGCCTAGGTCAGCAACACAGGTCTCGAGACGAGGAGAGTAAGAGAGATGACGGTTTACCCATCATCGCGAGCGACTACACCTTCATGACTACAGATGGCAAGGAAGATGGAAGAGCCAAGCCTATCTTGGTGATCAAAGACAGCCGGACGTTGTCCGTGGCAGCCACTTTTGTGGATGCAAAGGGTCCTACACCCTATGCCGTGAAGTTCTTTGCCAACTTTCTGAAGCACTTAGGCTATCGGAGAGCGGTCATGATGAGCGATGGTGAGCATTCGATTGTTGCTCTTAAGGAGCAGGCAGCCCGTGAGGCTGGAGTGGAAAACGTTCCACAGGAGTCCCCGGTGGGTGACCACCGGAGCAATGGACTTGCGGAGAATGCAGTCCGTGAGGTCAAGAGGCAGGTAAGAGTCTTGAGGTCTTCTTTAGAAGAGATGATCGGCAAGGTTCTACGCGAGGACGATCCCGTCCTGGCATGGCTTCCGCGGCATGCGGCAGACCTGATGTGCCGGTACCGCAAAGGACCGGACGGCCGCACGCCTGAACACAGGCGTTGTGGTAAGAACTGGCGAAAGCCAGCGATCGCTATAGGCGAAAAGTTGTACTACCGTGAGGTAGGAGAAGGAGTACGACAACTTAAGGAAGGCCGGTACATCGGCCACCATGGTCGTACCGGATCACTTTTGGTGATCACAGCAGATGGTGTCAAGAGGGGCACTGGAGTCCGCAGGCTGGCGGACTGTGACCGTTGGGTAGCCGACGGATGGGATGCCCTACGAGGGCTTCCATGGGAGGTGACTGCACGGAGGTCACCGGGCACGCCACGTGCCGGAGCGGCTGGAGAAGCCGTTGTCTTGGTTGGAGAGCCAAGGACGGAGGTGCCACCAGCAGTTCATGTCATGGCGCCACCTATGCAGAAGAGGATCTACATCCGGAAGGCAGACGTCGAGAAGTATACGCCTACAGATGGGTGCCCAGGATGCACATGCATTTTGCTGGGCCAATCTACCGTGTTGCCACACACGGAAGCATGCAGAGCCAGGATTGTGACTCTGATGCAACAAGATGAGGAAGGCAAGGGCAGATTAGAAGAACACGAGAGGAAGAAGAGATCTAAAAGAGATGAGAAGAACGAGGCCCCTGAGAGGGATGTGACAGCTGATGACGCAGCTGGAGCACCGGCCGACAAGGCCGTGCAAGCTAGTGAAGAACGCAGGGATGAGGGCATTTTGCCATACCCTGACAACCCAGAGGAGAGGTCAAGCCTGAAACGTGCACCTGCAGAGCCCAGCAGTAGCAGTACGCCTGCAGGGAGTAAGGCTAAAGCCTCACCGGTCAAGCCTCAGAAAAGACCGGGAGAACTCAGGATAGCCGCTGGACCTAAGCTGAAGGTCCAGCCACCCCAAGGAGAGAAGAGAGAACCTGAGGTATCAGTTGAAGATTTGAGAGATCAAACTGGAGAGCCACCTGCTGGAGCAACTACTCCAGGGCAGCCCCCGGACGCGGGAGGACTGTCTTTGAGCAGGGCAAAGGAGGTGGTGAAGAGGATGATCGAGAGGAGAATCAAGCAGGTCTATGAGCAGCAGGAGGTAGAGATCTCGTCAGTGGAAATTGAGACTCTAGCCAACATAAGCTGCGAGCTAAGCGCCGTACACATCATGGAAGTGTACAGTCCAGCAAGATTCTCTAAGGAGGCGAGCAGGTTTGGTTTAAAGCCTGGTTTCGCAATCGACCTTGAGGAGGCTAAACCCGACGGTTCGTTCTGGGACCTTAGCAGGCCAGAAGACGTCGAGGCCGTAAACCAACTGATTGATCGCGACGAACCAGTACTACTGACTGGGAGTCCGCCGTGTGATCAATTCAGCCACTTGCAGAACATCAACAAGTACAGGGTCAGCCCGGATCAACGTAAGATCCGTATGGATAAAGCACTGGAGCATTTGCACAACTCATGCAGCTTCTATAGGAAGCAGCTGGATACAGGACGCCTGTTCTTGCACGAGGCGCCCTGGAGTGCCACTTCGTGGAAAGATCCTGAAGTCAAGGAACTGACGGATCGCCCGGACACATATTTGGTCCGAGGGCCGATGTGCCGATGGGAGATGATGGCGACAGACCGCCGTGGTCTTCAAGGCACGGGCTATGTGAGAAAGGAGACCGGTTGGCTCACTAATAGCCGGGAGCTTGCTGAGCTCTTGGAAGGTGAGTGCAGCAACAAGGCAGGGAAAGATCCCTGGCACAGGCATGTACACCTTATTGGTGGAATTGCCAAACAGGCCGCCAGGTACCCACCTGCGCTGGTCAAAGCTGTCCTTCGGACAGTCAAAGCTTATCTTGTACAGAAGGGTGAGCTTAACTCAATGGAGTCGAATACATCAGGGCCAATCTGTGAGGAACCTTTTGTTCCAGCAGACTACATTGAAGAGTACTGGGATGATGTGAATGGAGGACTTCTACCAGCGGAAGAAGTTAAGAAGGCCAGAACTCTTGAGATGGACTACTTCAAGAAGCAAGGAGTTTACCGGAAGGTGCCGGTAACACAATGCTACGCAGAGGGACTTCGTCCAATCACGGTGAGATGGTTAGACACGAACAAAGGAGATCCGGAAAAGCCCAACTACCGGTCTAGATTAGTTGCCCGTGAAATTAAGGCAGCTAAGAAGCCGGAAGAACAGTTGCCGCAGAACCTCCTGTTCTCGTCAACGCCACCGTTGGAGGCAATGCGCTACTTGCTGAGTGCCTGGGCAACAGACCGGGTGTCAGCCAAGGGCCGGAGACTGAAGCTCGGTCTCTGGGACATAAGTCGAGCGCACTTTTATGGAGTTCCGAAGCGACGCATATATGTGGAGCTTCCACCAGAAGACGCAGAAGAAGGCTTCTGTGGTTTGTTGGAGAAGAGCATGTATGGTTGCCAAGACGCGCCAGCAATATGGCAAGACCATTATACCCAACTTCTTTTGAAGCATGGGTTTCAGCGTGGCCGCAGCAATGGTTCCTGCTTTTACAAGCCGAGCACAGGGTGCAGAGTGTTGGTTCATGGAGACGACTTCCTTGCACTTGGTGATCAAGAAGCTTTGGATGAGCTGGATTCCACTCTAAGGAGTGCCTACGAGCTGAAACGGCTCGGAATGCTGGGAGACGAGGATGGAGATGATCGCGCTGCACATTTCTTGAATCGTCTGATCCGCATTGGCATGCACGAAGGCCAATCAGCGGTTTTCTTGGAACCTGACCGCCGTCATGTGGAACTTTTGGTGAGACATCTGGGAATGGTGAACGCGAAGGGCACTGAGACCCCAGACATCAAGAAGTCCGTGGAGCAGCAGCTTTTGGAGGCTAACAGCCCTCCGTTGGCGCGAGAAGCAGCTTCACTTTATAGGTCGAGTGTGATGCGAGCAGCGTACCTCAGTCAAGATCGTCCTGATCTTTCGCACGCTGTGAAGAATCTTTCAAGGAAGATGGTCACCCCGACCGAGGCGGCGATGCAAGACCTGAAGAGACTGTGCAGGTATTTGCTGAAGTATCCTGATCTTTGTCAAGTGTTTGGGCGACAAGCCAAACCTTCGAAGGTCCGTATACAGGTTGATTCTGACCATGCAGGAGACGCTGTCACTAGGCGAAGCACTACAGGCATGGTTGCCCTCTATGGTAGCCATACACTGAAGCACTCAAGCAACGTCCAGTCGACGATAGCATTGAGCACTGGAGAGAGTGAGTGTTACGCTTTGGTGAAAGGCGGAGCATTGAGCACTGGAGAGAGTGAGTGTTACGCTTTGGTGAAAGGCGGTTCTGTAGGATTAGGACTTCACTCCCTCCTTCAAGACTTTGGAGTTGAGGTAGAGGTTCTAGTAGAGTCTGATGCAACCGCAGCCAAAGGCACGGTTAATAGAGTAGGCCTGGGAAAGGCACGCCACATTCAAACTCGTTATCTGTGGTTACAGGAACGTGTGGCGATGAACCATTTAAAGGTAGAACACATACCAGGCAAGCGGAACAGGTCTGATGTGCTGACAAAGTCAGTACCCGGAGTCCAAATGAAGGACACAATGAATCGTTCCGGATTTGTGTTTCTTCAAAGCAAGAGTAAAGGCCAGATGAGTCTTCTAGATTCGTAAGGCCCTGGTCCAGGCTCCGACTACCGCACTGTATAGTTGCTGTGCGGGTGATCAAGCACCCTCCAGCAAGGAGGAGTGTTGAAATATGTAGCCCAATACGCTTGTTGTCATATACAGTTGTACAGTTGGGACTACCGACATGTTTTGGCTCAAGAAAATAAGGCGCTCCGAAGCGGCCAAATAGATTTTCAAAAGATCTTGTCTCGGCAAAATATAGCGAGTTCATCTGGAGGTAAAGCCAACTCATCCATCATGTCTTGGAACAGTTGACCATGGCCCTTGAGTGAGGCATGCGCCCCAGAGTTCTGCCTCATGTTTGTTCGAGTAAGCCGAGTTTCTAGATGCACTTCCGGCGGTTAATGATGTTTGAGTCCTTTGTCGATGTTGCTTTAGAGCATGGCTGGTTTTGTGACCGAATCGGTTCAATTGGACCTTTCGGGTTTTCTCAACTGGTTTTGCCATACCCCTTCTCGTTCGGGGAGCTCGGAGCAACCCAGGGCCTGCCTTGTCAACCCCAGCGCCCATTTCTCAGGTAGCCTTTAGTTGGTTCGGATTGGTTGGGGATTTGAACTGGTCCCTGGTTCTTGTGAGGGGGTAAACGGGAAACCCCACCTTAACCACCGAACCACCAGTCCAATCAACCAGCTGATGGCTACCTGATATCCTGCGGAAATTCCTGTCCCTGATCCCTAACCGCGGGAAGATTGACGGCATTCCCAACTGGGTGCTACCGGATGCCCCTATGCCCCTTTTTGTGGGTCATTTCGGCATAACGGAATCGGCGAGTGGAAACTGGCAGGGTTCAGGGTGGTAGAACACCAAAAGCCGCACCCATTTCTCTGGGGGTCCGGGGTCTTGGAGCACCAAGCGCCTTTTCCAGCCGTTTTTCAGGTATCCCTTGGTTTGGAACAGGGCTCCTTAAAAGATCCATTTTGCCCATTTGAAACATGGCTTGTTCCACCAAAAAGGGATACCACCATTTACAAGTTGCAATGTTCAGGATGTCTGCCTGGCTTAGGGTCCCTGTTCAGGTAACCCTTTTGGAACTGGTTGGGGTCCCAGGGTGTTTTGAGGAGCACACGGCCACCGCAGCCACTGCGATCGTCCGAGGCTCTTGGTCCAGGGCCAGCGCGGCTTTGGCCAGCCCGGACGCCCCAGGGAGCCGCGGTGGACATGGGCCTGTGGTTTTTTTAGGGGAATTCTTGGTCTTCCATTTGGTGAAAGGAATATATATATATATATATATATTTGTTGTTCTTAATATTTTTATTTTCCCCGGTTGGTTTGAAAGGGAATCAATCTATCACTACTGGAAATATGTTTATTTTTCCAGGGGTCTTAAGAAAATGGAGGTTTACCGGCAAACCAAGTGGGAGGCTTCCTCCTGGGACCTATTTTCGGGGTCCTCCGATTTTCAGACATCCAGTCGAGGGACCCGTTTTGGTTTTCATTGCGGCAAGTACCGACACCAGGGTCACGGGGGGGGGGGGGGGCTGGTCCCCCCCCCAAATGTGCAAAACACACCCGGTTTGGGTTGAGGACTTGCGTTAGTTGGTTCTGAGTTGGGCTTCTCCAACCCGTGGCAGGCTAAGGAGCCTAGCTTCTCACTTGGCTTTTTAAGGCGCTGCTTGATCCTTCAGTCCGAACAGGTCCCACGGCTACGGGAAAAACGGATCCATGCGCCGATCCTGCGTTGTTGCCAGACCTCTGTTGCCTGGATGTACCTAGAGTCTCTTTTTGACCCTTGAACAATGAGTCAAATGGGTCCATAAACCCCCCCATTTTGGGTAATGACCGACCATTTTTTAAGGGTCATGGAGACTCCAGGTATCTATGTATATACGTATGTTGTAAGCACAATATCGAACAGACACAAACATATATACAGATATATGTTATATATATATATAATCCCATGGTATGAACCTTTATTGTGGAGGGCCCCCTCCTGAGGACTGGGCACTTAGACTAGTGTGTTGCCACACACACACACATTTTTCAGCGGAGCTCAAGAAGCGCGTGTTGTATTCGCAATGTTCAGCATGCTGAATCGGGGTTCCACCTTAAACAACTGGTCGTTTTTGGTTTTTTCGTTTTTTTCTTTGTTTTTTTTCTGTTGCGTTGTCCAGCTTGTGCAACTTCCAGAAGCTGAGCCCTTTGCGGACTTTCGGCGGGTCAACGCAGAACCCTCGAATACTTACTTGGACCCCCCTTCAGTATTTCCACTCATTCCGAATTTTCCGTGGCTTCGCTCTTCGAAGGAGCAGTGTGCTAGGTTTATCTTGTTTGAGCCGTTTGATTGATCACCCGTTCAAAGACGAGCAGATTACTTTGCAATGTTTCCATAAGCCGTGCAGCATCGCGAAGAGAACGCGCGGGAAGCTAAACAACTTATTCGGGGTTGAGTAGGCAACCCCCCTCTTGCTTGGACATTCTAATAAGTGCAGGGTTGTGGGATCAAGGGGTTTATCCCCACTTCTGTGATACAAGGGAATCTCTTCTTTATATGGGGGGTTCGTCTTTGGGAAGTCCTTTATCACAGTGTTCAATCCCATAGCCCTGACTAAGTGTGATACCAGTGGGTGTTCCCCATCATATGTTACAGTAGTTTTGCAAGTGGCATGTCTCAAACCTGAGCACGCCTGTCCCGCCAGGCGTGACCAGATCTACATGGGCTGAGCATGGCTCATTTCGGAGCCTGCCTGAGCTGCAGCGAACGGGTGCAAAGTGTCCAGGGAGGCATGGTAGCTATTTGAGAGTCGTCCTAAAACCCTTAAGCTTTGCTTTTTAGAAGGCTCGCTTTTTTTCGGCGGTTTGTCTAGGAAGCGCGGCGGAAGCCTCAAAGCGAAACAGGCCATATTATGGTCACGGATCTTTGGACTTAACTGTTTCTTGACGCAGGTGGGATTTCGCCGGGATCTTCCGAATTGGACCCGCAAACAAGTTTTTTTTGCAGAGGGTTCACCAGCATCCAAGAGTTGTGCCAGTGACAACATTGATGACTCAAAGGGCGAATAAATTACGCGAATGGTCCATGATCATGATGTTTGTTTTGATAGTACTGCACAACCCCATAGGTGTTTAGGCTCTAGTCTTCTACTGTGTTCGAGGAATTCCCACAAAGACCAACGGCACGACCCACATGTTCTGTCCTGTTTGGAGAACAAGTGATTTTGCGCGGTCGATAGTTAAAACCACGGCCAAGACATCTACCCTTTGATAGGCTGGTTTAAAGATAGGCAAAAGGGACACCACTGTTTGTTTGTTTGTTTTTTTGGGGGGTTGCAACATCCCCTTTACATTTCTCTCTGGGTGAGGGGGGGGGGTGAACCATCCCCCTTGACATTTCTCTTTGGGTGAGGTTGACCTCCCTGACCTTCTTCTTTGAATCTACCTGGAGTCTCCTTCTGACCCGTTAAAAATGGGTCCATGACCCCACTCTTTTGCCATTTTTGAAGGGTCAGATCCGGAGACTCCAGGTATACATGTTTGGAGGAATCTACACTTAGGACGAATGAAACCGGGGGCTACCGGGATCGGCCTCTCTGACGTTCTTTTTTGTAAAAGATTGGAGCAGCCACTCTTGACCATGCCGAACCTGGACTGGCAACACCTAATGACTGGCAACTGAATTGACTGAATTGGCGTGCACCGGAAAACGCTTCGAAGTTCGAAGCTGCGCGACGGTCTGGGAATCAAAAACATTCCGCTGGGATCTCTTGGGTGAGTTTTGATTGGGGGACCTCCAAAATGGTTGGTTCTGTTTGGGCTTCGTTTACCAACCAAAAAGGGGACCCCCTCCCCCCATCTCCCCCCAAAAAACAGACACACACACATACCCAACCAGACAGCATCCAACTCATGAGAATCCGGAGCTCATGAGACCAAGTTGGCTTAGTGGAAGTTTGCTTCATGCACGCCCCTGGCTGAAAGGTCCAAAAATCGGGGCCCACGCCCATCCGGGCTCCAAGCAACAGCACCCTGGTTTCCAGCAGCTGGTTGTTCCTGTCCCAGGATGAAGCCCCGCTCAAACCAGGGACACCCCTTGTTCCAATGTGACGTTTGGTTTTATTAATCCTTACCTCTTAAAAACAAAGCTTTTCAATCTGTTGGGTAACATGGGCTATATGTCTGCAAAAGATTAACTTCCCCAGGGCTTGGAGTTTTAAGGGGTAAGAATCTGTGGTCCACATCAATCTGAACTGAAACGGTCGACCAAATTCCTGCGATCCTCTGACTGTGGGTCCGGGACCTCTTAAACCATCGGGCTCCTTTTGGTTTCCCTTTCACAAACGCAGAACGGGTACCAACTCGCAAAAGCAAAAACAAGCAAACGCATATATGTATGTATGCATATATATATATTATATAATAATAAAAAAATAATAATCATACCAACAATAATAATAATCATAATAATAATAAGAATAGTAATAATAAAACTAACAATATAATAATCATAACAATAATAATAATAACAATAATAATAATACCAATAATAATAATAATAATAACAATAATAATAATAACAATAATAATAATAACAATAATAATAATACTAATAATAATAACAACAACAACAATAATAATAATAATAATAATAATAATAATAATAATAATAATAATAATAATAATAATAATAATACTAATAACAATAATAATAACAATAATAATAATAATAACAATAATAGTACTACTAATAATAATAATAACAATAATAATAATACTAACAATAATAATAATAATAATAACAATAACAACAATCATAATGATAATAACAATAATAATAATAATAATAATAATAATAATAATAATAACTAATAATAAAACTAATAATAAAACTAATAATAATCATAATAATAATAATAACAATAATAATAATAACAATAATAATAATAATATACATATGTATGTATATATATATATATATTTGTTAGAGCTTCTTTCTCTTCAGTCCAAGTGCTCCTCTTTTCATCAATGTTCCGTCGCCATGCCCCCCTTTTCCATGACCCCATTTGGAGCAATGGCCCCAATGGCCCCATTTTTGAGGGTGGAGACTCCGACTCCAGGTATGCATGTAGGAATCTACACGAATGAAACCCGGATATGGGGGCGACCGATCTACCGAGATCGGCACGTAGACCAGGCTTGCGAAGGCCACAGTGATGAAACCGCAAAACGAAAACTCCTGCCTTCTGAAACAAAGGTCCAGCACAAAAAAGTTGGTAGCCTTCTAACCTCTCCACTGGACCTAGATGACTTGCACTGAAAATCGACTTGTGGGTTGTCGAAATTTCTCCGGACTGCACGGTGTGCTTTACTTGTGTACTTTGCTGCCAGTCCGCAATCGGAAGTGAACAATTCCAGCTGACATGGCCGTGGGTCAAAACCTTTTGGGGGTAGGTGCACCACCCATTTTAGCCTATTTTATTTGGGATTGGGATGGTCACTGGGGGTACAATTTGGGTTTTGACCCATAGCCACATAGAGCCCGAGCTGACACAGAGCCCTGTTTGTTTCTTTCTCCAGCGAGTGGCAAGGGGCCAAGGATCCGCATAACCCCGTTGAAACTTGATGCAACTGACCCAAAGTCAACACCAGCAAAATGCAGGAGTGATCCAAGTAACAGTGGATGTTTGTTTCATTTCGTCTGGAAGTCATTGGAATCATTCGAGTGGACAGGGCTTGGACAGTCTATGGAGCGAAATACACAAATTTAATCGCCCACTCCGTCAAGTCCATGACCATCCCCAAGCCCAAGTAACGGGGGTTGGGAGTTTCTTCACATGATCACATGAAGCTAACCCCCTGCTAGCTGGTGTATATATATATATATAGGTCAACAAGAAGCATGTTACCTGCAGTGCTTTCATGGTGTTGTTTGCTTGCAAGAGGTAAAATGTGGATCTTGGGGGGGGTGACCATGATATATATATATATATTATTATGGAAAGCTGAAAGGCAGCATTTCAGAGTTGACCCCACTTTTCCAGAAAGATCCGAGTGCTTTCGTCACTCTTTCAGACCGCCTCAAGGGACTGCCCTGAGCGCTCGAGCGAGCCATGGGCGGTGCTTTTGGGAGAGATGATCTGTCTGTACTCGGCAACGGGGGGGTGATTGTGATGCAGTCGCCCAAGGACCATTCACTTTGGTGTTGGGCAGTCTCAGGTACCCCTAAATTCGTTTGGATTGGCTTGGGAATTTGAACGGGTCCCTGGTTCTTGTACAGTGCAAAAGGGAAACCCCTCCCTACACCTATTAGGGTACAGCTGATAGTCCTCATTCTGGAAGTTTGCCCTTCCCTGAACCTTCGCACTTTCAGTTACCTTTTTGCTAGGTAAGAGGCGGATCAGAATTGACGTATACCCTGGTTGCCTGATAGAATGGCCTGCACCTGCAAGCATGTGGGATGCCAAATGGTTTTGCAGTAGGTAGATTCTGAAGGAACGCCTGGCTTATCTGGGAAAGTTTGCTTCCCCAAGTGAATCCTCTCTCTCTCTCTCTCTCTTGCCAACTGCGCCTACATGTGTACACGGTATTGTACAATATTTTGGCTAAAGGAGGCGTTGGTTTGACTCAAGCTGTGCTTGTACAATATGGTGTGTGTGTGTGTATGTGGGTGCGGTTGGGCGAGAGGAGGAGGTCAACATGCGCAAATTGTACATGTCTGTGGGGGGGGTCAGTGCTTTGCCATTCTTTCTGGCGGGGGGTGGCATGTGCCGAGAAAGAGAAAGCACCAAGAGCCTATTGTCGTACAATTGCACAAAAGAAAAGACGGTTTGGGAACCTCCCAGGATCATCAGAACAATGCATCCGGGTCTTTGGCCCCCAGTCAACTAGGGCAACTCTTGTCAGGTACCCCTACTTGGTGATTAAATGTTGACCCCATATTAATCGACCCCTGTTTATTCATAGGGGGGTGTCCCTGGGTTTAGTAGGGAATCAGCACTTTTGCAGGGGCCCCCTATTAATCAACAGGGGTTGACTAATATGTGGTCACCATTGGATTGATAGTGTTGGGAATTGAGCACCTGTTCCTTTTGAAACGATACGAAAGGTACTCCAGGATCTAAGTTCAGCCAAGGCATACGGAGATCTTGGTGTGAACCCGCTCATCCCCATCTCCTTTCAAGTGGAACTGGGCGAGGTAGCCCCACTGACAGCCCCCCATTCCCCCACGCAGAACAGACCAAACTTCAGTCGAACGTTGGTCAACACGTTCCTTTGGATTTACCCTGGGGTTCAAACCACAAAGACAATGGCTGGAATCCTATGACCTGTTTATCCTTCAGGAGTGTCATCATTCAAACTTGGTCCTTGCCATTCTTTGGGGGGCAAGGAACCCTAGGGTTCACCTAAGGATTGTCATCCTAACCTGGTCAACCATTCTTTTGGGGGTTAAATTCCAGGGTAGGACACGGTTCAAGGACCCAATGTGAACTCCGGAAGCCGCAGGTTTGCCTCCTGGCCAAGCCAGCCCCGCCCGATGCGGACGCCCAAAAGTTTGACTGCCTCGCCATGCTCAGCGATGCCCAGTGGCAAGACTTCATCGGCAAGCTGGAAAAGATTGCGCCCTCGGTGGACAGTTTTTTGTGATTCTTGGTTTTGTTCCATTTCCGACTTTGCATATTTGTTTCCTTGCTACAGTAGCTTCCTTGCTACAGTAGCTTGCTTGCTTGCTTGCTTGCTGGCTGGCTGGCTGGCTTGCTTGCTTTCTTGCTCGCTCGCTTGCTTGCTTGCTTGCGTTGCTTGCTCGTTTGCTTGTATTCGATATGAATCTGAATAGGGAGCCACCTTCAAAGTGGCTGGTGGACATGAAACCCGATCAACGTGATGTCCACCAATGGGTTCCCCATTAAAATGTCTACCCATATGTATACGTATACATGTATGTAACATAATCAGACTAATTAATCGTGACAATGCCTCTACTGACACTCAATCATCAATCATTAATCTATATATGTACACACATATTATACCTTAGCACTGCATGTTTGTATGTGGATGTATAAATAAATAAATAGATGAATATTTCTATATATATCCATTATCTACAGCGGTTGTGCTCATCATTTCTTGTGTTTTTGTTGTTCGGTGTGTGGGTTTAGATGTTTGTGCGTACGATGCGTCTTATGTAATGTGTGCGTGTGTGCGCTGCGTGCCTACTTGCTTGCCTGCTTGCTTGCCTGCGTGCCTGCCTGCGTACCTGCCTGCCTGTGTGCCTGCCTGCATGCCTACTTGCTTGCTTGCTTTGCCTGTTGACTTTGTCTGTTTGCTTTGAATGATCGCTGGCTTTACTGTTGAATTTGCTTACTTGATTGCTTTCCTGTTTGGGTTCTTGCTTGGTTGGTTTGCCGATGGCTGTGCGCTGCCTTGCTTGATTGCAAGTGTGTTTGGGTTGTCTTTGTGTTTGATTGTCTGCTGGTTCAGCGCCCTGCTAATTTGTCTGTGTATTCCATTTTCTTCAAGTTGTTGGTGTTTCGCAAGTGTCTTCATATTTGTTGATCTGGTTTCTTGTTTGGCAGCTTACCTGCCTCTCTGCTGTTCATTCTGCCTTGCCAAGGTGCTTGCTTGTTGGCACGCTCGCTTGCATGCTTCGCTGGCTCACTCGCTGGCTCACTCTCTGGCTTGCTGGCTTGATCGCTTGTTTTCTTGCTTGCTTGCTTGGCTGTCTGTTTGCTAGCTGGCTTGTTGATGTTGGCTGTGTAGGTAAAGTGCTGCATGTGCTGTGTGTACTGTATTTCCAAGCCTGAAAAACAGATCCACATCGCCGAGGTGAATCGTTTCTGGTCGGAGACGTGGCAGCTCATCGGCGACTTGAGCAATGGCAGGGCTTTACCTGTATTCTAAGGGCTTGATTCCTTTTCCATTCTTTTCAACCATCGTTCTTTTCAGAAACCAGCTGTTTCCCTGGGGTTCTGATGGTTTTCTGGAAAAAGACTGGAAATGGAAGTGTCCCCTAGATGTTTCCGCCAAGTTCGCCCCAGACTCGCTCCTGGAGTTTCCGCCAAATTCGCCCCATGAAAATGGTGGCGGGGGGTCAGCAGGAATTCCATTGAACTGGGTGACTGGGTGCTTCCCTTGAAGGATAGGGATCAGAGTTGATACAAAAGGAACCTGGGCGAACTACAACCTCACACGACCGAATTCACCCCAAATGGTGGGTTACCTCATTTCAGGCTGGTGAAATAGTACAGATTGGTGTCCTGTTTGGTTGTTTGGCAACAAGAAATCGATGGCCCTGGTTGACCTGCCTGGAGTCTCCATGACGCTTAACAAAGGGTTGGTCATTACCCAAAATGGTGGCATGGACCCATTTTTGAATGGGTCAAAAGGAGACTCCAGGTAGTTGTTTCATAGTCTGCCAGGATATCCATCGATTTTCAACCAACAGGACACCTACAGGTTGATACTGACTGTTGCTGCTGCAGGTACAAGCCGCTGTTTGAAGATGGGCTCGTCTTTCTTTTTTGGGCGTGTTCTTTTCGAAAGGAAAACCACTATTTGGGGGGGGGGGGGTCCACCACAAAAAGACACCCTGATGGAACTCAAGCAGATCTAGAGCAACGGTCAATAGAATACTAATAGTGACAATAATCATATAGTAATTACCTGGAGTCTCCATGACCATAAAAAAGGGCGTCATTACCCAATATAATGGGGTTGTGAGCCTATTTTTAAAGGGTCACGGAGACTCCAGGTATACATATATATATATATATGCATACAGTCCGTTCTGCAATCAAGGGATGTTGTGGGGCACAGTTGCGCTGTGGGGATGAGGATTTGGTTGCCAACAGTGTCAGTCAGAACGCCAAACATATCGGAGCTGTGCCTCACATGCGGCCAGCCATAAAGGAGCTTTGACAACATCGGTCTCTTTGTGTAGGTATTCTTGAGGTTACCCGTCTTTATGTTGGTGTAGAAGGAAGCTGAAAGGAAAATCACATCAAATTAAGAGGTGTCTTTAGTTTGACACACATCCAATGATCGGAGATGACCATAATAGAAGCATGGACAGATGCATTAAGTTCACTTGGCGTTCCGCTGTCTCTTGATACCATTCTACCCCCCCACACCTTTGCCAATGCCCTAACAGATCCGTTTTTTCATTTCGTCGGGCTTTCCGGGAAATCTGTCCATGGCATTGTACCTGCGGTGCATTGGACATTCAGTCCAGTGCTTTGCGAAGTGGGTGTTCCTCTTTTGAGCCTGGGTTAACCACGAACCACCCAAATCAACCTGTGAGCTCGTGTATCTTGTCACATCACAGTCTCAGTATTTTCTTTTTGTTGACAACCTAGACTCGTGCATGCTGTTGGCTCACCATTTTTCAACAGCTTCCCTTGGAGAAATGCGACCACACAGTCGGCCAAATGGATTCCATCACTTCATCAAATTGGCTTGCTTGTACAGCTTCATTCATTGCTAGGCTCCTCTAGATGGACATGCTGCCCACTTGTCCAGAGCTTCCTGTTGGGTTGATGTCGGCCGCAGGTTATAATTTCGCATTTCGCAAAGCCTCTACTGCTGTTGGTGTCATGCATATTTCGTTAATTGTTTGCTCCTGCATTTCGTAAAACGAGCCAGCGGCATGTTTCCCAAAGCTGCGAACCACAGTGGATAATTTGCGCACGCAATTTTGCAGCAGAAGGCCCGCGGGCCAGGCGTGCACATGGCTTCAAGATCACAAACGCACATGGACACCACGTAATGTTAACCCAGGATTAGTAAACCCGTCCCAGTATTAGGGGGGTGTTCCCACCAAAAGTGATTCATCCGGGGTTAACATTAACAGGAAGATGCCAGCCTGAAGGTTGGCAGAAAGAGTCATGGAATTGATACGAAACAAACATGAACACGCAAACTCCACGAAATTCGGGAGGCAAGTTGGCAGTACGGCATCCTGGTTGGTAGTTTATGACCACTCGATCTGAGTCATGTCAATACATTTCGCAGGCGGATTCAGGTGAGGTTGTCATTTGCTCCTCAAAAGGAATCATGTCCCGAGTGCCAAGATTATTGGACGCATTCATCACAGTCTGCCATTTTCGAGGGTACCCTTTGTGGGCGGCTTCAAAGAGAGACCTGTAAGGGGGAACCCGTCATTTGGGCGTCGCCCTAAAAGTACCCGCGCATGTCAACCGTGAGCTGGGCCAAACCCACACGGGCAACTCGAATCATTCGCTTCGATTCCAGGGCCCTGCGAAAGGTGAAGCAGTTCCGATGTTTTTTTTTTGCGATGCGAATTCGATGCTGAGGATTTCCAGTTTTGCTGCTGGCAGTGGTCCTTGCAGTGCTCACCATTGTTGACGAGCTTTTCTCGTTTGCAATGGTGTAGCTCGGTGGGGCGGGTGAGAGGCTGGAGGAGGCTTATGAGAGGGTGTGGCACAACCCGTACCCAACTTAACTGGGGGGGTGATTGATTCCACGCTTTGGTGACGCAAGGACTTGATTCCGCCCTGGAGCCCTTTCTTCCTGTTTTTTGGTGCCACCAAAATGGCGGGGCTTTGCAATCACAAGGAAGCTGAGAATTCATGCCTATTTGTAAGATGGGTGTCAATTCCTTCCATTTGGTTGCCCTTAACCAGACAACCAATTCGAACAATCACCACCCAGATTCCTGCCGGCTGTTTTCCCGCGTAGTTTTGCCGCTAAACAAAGCTGCTGCTTTTTGCTCTGCTAAATTTAGCTGCCAGAGAAATTTTGCGAGGCATGCGCAGCATCTCTGGCATGCAAATACACTTGTTCTATTCTCACATATGCTGCCTGGTGGGGCAGTAGCCAACCCACCCCGCCGTGCTGAACCTCAAAAACTGCATCTACATCTCTGGGGCTTCTGCATGTCTTTCAGGCCGGTTTTCGGAAACATCTAGGAGCTGCAAAAAAGGGAACCCCAGCCCGCTCAAAACGCCACACGCCTCACATCAGGTTGGCAAAGAAGATCTTTGAGGCAAAGACATACGCGTAGCCGTTTTTTAGCGGTTCTTGTTCCAGAGGCATACGTGACGCAGGTAGGTCCACAAGGTTTCCCACTTGGATGGAAGCATGGCCGCATGACTTGTTTGGGCTCCGACACATCCGTTGTCTTTTCGATTACTTGTGCAACGCATAAAGACGGACATGTCAACATGCATGTGCCTCTTGCGTAGCCTATATGGTGCTACATTTTCCAAGGCCTGTCTTCTTTCTCGCTGCTGTCAGCTCGCTTGGGGCTCGAGCCTTCATCGTGGCACAGAACTCGTCGTTGGATGCCCAGATCGAAGCGTGGTGCCGAGAGTTAACGATGTCCACCGGTGGGATGGTCAACGTCCAGTATCGCACCAGGTACACAGGCTGGGATGCGTGACCAGGTCTCGGAGCATCGGTTTCGGCTAGAGACTTGTTGCTGGGAAAGCCTAGAGGTCGAAGCCTTTGGCTCCTGTGACCTAGCTCTTCACCTGAAGGCATGCAAAGACGTGTTTGAGAATTTGTGCAGAAACCCCTCACATTTTTGCTCATTGTGGTTTAGTGGGAAATCCCCACCTAACTGCTATTTTTTTTGTTTTTGCTCCCCTTCCAACGTCAACCAAGATGTTTTTTGGCTCGGAGTGTCATCCAAGCCATGCGATCGTGTGAGACACTCCAAGGGTACTTTCATATCGCTTGGGCAGCTTCATTTGTGCATGCAGACTTCCATGTGCTTCCTTTCTGTCGGGTATTTGCCTTTGGCTCATGGAGCGATGTGGACCTATGTTTGCCACTTGCCATGTCTTGCTCCGACTTCTTGCATTTGTTTTTTGGGGACTGGGAAGAGAAGTTGCCAGGCGGTCCATTTGAACCCATATTGTTCTGCATTTTTTTGGGAATTTGGAGGAGACACATGTGCCGCGCTTGAGCAGGCTTCTGCAATCTCAAGATTGCCAGGACAGGGAGGGCTGGGCATGCCTTGTCTGAAGCTGAGTTGATAGAAAAGCATAGCTTGTATGAGCTCTCGCAGTGCCCGAAACTTCTCAATTTGAAGCCGAATGAACCTCTGAGTTTTTCCTTTTGGCCTACTTCAAGGTCCCATAAAGCCCGAAATTTCCAGGCGCCAATGGGCGCTCAGAGTTGGCTGGGGACAGGTTGCAGCTGCTGGGATTGTCCCTTTCGAAGCATTTGGCGTTCAGAGACTATATTAAATATATACCTGCAGTCTCCATGACCCTTTAGAATTGGGTCCATGACCCCATCATGTTGGGCAATGACACCATTTTTTAAGGGTCATGGAGACTCCAGGTGTATATATGTTTTTGGGTGTAGACACGTGAAGAGTTCTCGCTGTGGGCATATGTGTCATTGGCATGCCCATGTTGTCATCGTGCCATCAGGTGGGGAGGGTGGGGTGCGCCGCGTGCGTGAGGGTCTGTGGGCAGCCATTGGCAAACCTCAGCAGATTTATGGATCATATCCGGGAGATTGTAAATCAGCGGAATGAAGGTTCCAGAAGCTACACAGCACCCCTATGTTGTATTTTTAGATGGCTAAACTTTGCCCAGAACCAGACAATCTGAGATTTTTCCTCTGCATCCCTCTTGTTGAGCTTAGGGTTCAAGATCCATGGTGGGAAAGGTTACCAGCCGCTGAGGTTAGAGAAGAATGGCCGAAACAATTTGCCTGGCAGCCATTATCAAGAAGCTGCACTGGGAAGCGGGGCCGTCTTCTTTGGAGTTGGTACCCTGTTCTGGGATTAAAGAAAAGCAACACATTTTGAAGAGGTCCCGCAAAGCTCTTTATGATCACTGCTGCGCAAGAGAGCAACACGAGTCTGTGCGTGCAGTCGCAGGCGGGGGCTTTTGGAAGTGAAGAGGGCCCAACCCATCACCGACACCAAGTTCGAACCGAGTTCAGAGACATGGCTTTGATTTTCAAGGGGAACCCTCTCAAGAGGTTTCGTTTTCGTTTCCCGACACAAACCAGCCACAACAAGGGTACCGAGCCTCAAACAAGATTCACACGCACATGGGGCTCGCCCTCGTTTCCCAACCAAAAAAGGACCTGACGCTCAAGAATCCCTCCCATTTGCTTTTCTTCCACTCATATTTGTGCTGAGTATTGGCTCCTCAGCGCAATTCCCTGGCGCCAAATATATATATATATATGAATACTGTGTGTTTTTCGGGCCGATGTCCTGCCTGCGTCAGATCTTGGTAGGACCACTCGAATGCTGGCATTTATGCCGGGGGTCGCTGTAGGCTGGGGCAAGGGTTGCGGCAACAATGTTGGATCGAATCCCTTAAGGAAGTCATCCATTGTGTCAGGAGAGGAACGAGTAGTCAACAGACCGGGGAAATCTTTTTCATGTGCATGTTTTCTTCAGGCGCTTCCCCCACTGGAAAAAATGGGAGATTTCAGGCGGGTGTTGCCGAATCGGGTGGCGCTGATGAAATATCAATTCCATGCTTGAGCCGTGGCAGTTTTGTTCTGGCAAACTGTTTAGATGGCCATTCCACCAGTTGGCAGTTCACGTCTTTCTGAGCTTGATTCAATTAAGGCGCTGAGCCTTAAAAAGGCCTCTTCCATCTTACTAGAACACTACTTTTTGTTCAACCAGAACGTTTTGAAAAGGGGCCGCGTGAAACGGGCGGCGATGGACTATTGGACTACACCGGGGGAACAACCGTGCGAAAGTGTATCACATATGTATTGATGTGTACCCCGGAGTCTCCTTCTGACCCTTGAAACTAGTTTGTCAACCGTCCGTGGAGTTGTCGTTGGAAGTTTTATGAGACCCTTCATGTACCTGGAGCATGACCCTTAAAAGATGGTTGGTCATTACGCAAAATAATGTGGTTATGTACCCATGGTTAAAAGGTCATGGAGACTCCAGGGTAAACGTAAACCAAGCAAATGGCAACTTGTAGGAAAACTTCAATGAGCAGAGGCTTTTAATCAAACGAAAGGGTTTATTCAAAAAGGGAACTGCATGCACTTTGCGGAGGCAATCCTGGTTGGGGCCTAGACTCGCGTAGGCTTCAGCGCGTAGGGTGTTGTGTCACCCCTCGCGTAGGCTTCGAGTAGGTGCTGCTTGCCAAGTATAAAGGTAATTTAATTGCTTCTTTTGACTTCCTTCTGTTTGTTCTGCAGTGTGTTCGTGCAGGTGCAGCGCAGGCTCTGCGTAAGCATTCGTGTAGGCTTTCAAGGCAATTTGGGTACGTAGGTAGAGCTTTTCTAGCGATCCTTGGACAGATGTGAGGTTCTCACTTGTAACTCGTTCTGATCTTAGAGCCGGAGCTGCCAAAACTGCACGTGTACTGAAAAGTTGCAGCTGCCAAAGTGCACTTCAACACTTGAACTGAACCTTCGCCCGCGTAGGCATCCGCGTAGGCACCTGGAAGCTGATTTGTGCTCGTGTAGGCACTCTGTGCTGCAGCGTAGTCTCGGCTCGCGGAGGCTTCCGCGCATGCAAGTCGTGTATAGGCCGCGAACCACCAAAAAGCCACTTCCCAATATGCCAGATGGGGGGAGGCAATCGAGCGGTTGAAGCCTGGCAAGGCCGCCTTCTGAAGGCAACGGTTAGTCATGGACCCAAAAGTTTGCCTCCGCCACAGTTTGGCTTGCTGGTTTCTCTGCCAGACGTCCAGACGGCCTCCCTGAAGGATCCTTTGCGCATGGCGTGGGACGTGCATTCAGAGGGTTGGTTCTTCTGGTGATCAGTGGATGTCGGGTTACCTGCGGGGAGGGAAATCGCCTGACTGTCAAAATGGGATTTCCGTCAGTTTGGGTTGAAAGAACAGGCTCCACTTCGGAATGGCCAGGAAAATGTCGACAGCAACAACGGGATTCCCTCATTCAGAGAGCCCAACTATGGCGGTGACTTACCCCCTTATTTGAATGATTGAAACTTTCACTTCCAAACCGTGCAACTAAGATGGCGCAAGGTGTCCCCGCTGCTCCAACCACGGTGGCCCGGAAAGCAAGACGTGTGGTTTCGGGCGGAATGCAGGGCTTACGCGGGTTTCGTCTCTCCCCTCTGCTTTGTGCATCCCAGCCACCCGCTTAGGTTTTGTTGCTTTTGGGGTGTAGTAATAGTTTCCACTAAGCCCACCTAAGGTTAGACTCTTATAGCAGGGGACTCCAGGACAGTCCAGGTCTTGAGGCAGACCCATCTGTCATGTTTCCAAGCATGGTTCAGTTAGCTTCTGAGAACTTCTGGCGCCTTTTCATCGAATCAGCGAACCATGTGCAGCTCTGGGTTCCAAGCGGTAAAGATGCCTGGGGTTGAGGTATTCACAAGTGGAGGTCGTGTCTTGTGCAAGTCACCTCGGAACAGTCGTGGCGCTTGCCCGGCCAAAAAGAGGCTTGTTGGATTCCAGCCCGCGGCCCGAAAAAAGAGTAAGTTGGACCCCCCAAGCAACCCATTGTTGAGGCTTTATACTGCATGTCATTTGTTGGGCCGAAGCCAGAGAAAGGGCCCCGAAGGGGGGCCCAAGGATAGAAATCCTTTTGCTCAGGCAACACTTGGTTTAGCTAAAAAGGGGGCTAGTCTTGCAGGCACTGTGCACTGGGGTGCACTGCACCAGCATTGTGGTGCCTGCAGACTGGCAAGAAGCCAAGCAGCTTTGCAGCCACATGTGTTCAACTTGGGTCATAAAAATATGCACCATTATGTCTTTGAAGGCGTCCACATGTTTACCTGGAGTCTCCATGACGTCCATGGCCCCATTATTTTGGGTAATGACCAACCATTGTTTAAGGGTCAGAAGGAGACTCCAGGCACATGTTCACCTCCTTCTCGCCTTCTTTTTCGGGCTTCTGCAGCTCGCTTTCACCTTCCACCAAGAAGCACTTTCCGAAGTGCCTTGGAGAGGACATAGTTCGAGGACCCATCTTGACATCACCCTCAAACGACCAACTTTAAAACAACAGAGAAAAAGAACGGGAATTCGCCATGAACCATAACATGTTAAGCTTCAATATCCCATAAGGCTGGGAATTTTGCGAGTGGCGCTTCGTTCTCTCTCACGAAGTCAATGGGAAGCTTAGGTCGAGGCCCAAGTGGCGTGAGCCGGAGCTGAGGTGTTCCAGTCGCCCAGTCGCCCAGTCGCCCAGTGGCCACTCGTTTTCCCCGTCGCCCGTGAGCGGGTTTTTTTACGACGAGTTGGCTGGGCGAGAAGTAGGTGGTTTACCCATTCTGGGGCCCTTCCAAAACTAGATTATATTTTAGGGCTTTAGGGTAGAATAAGTATGAAAGAGTCAGAAAGTATTTGGAGGACCCCAGATGTGGATCAACAATGATTCAGGCCACTTGAGGGTCCAATGGTTTACCCTCGTTTACTGCGTCAAGATTGACTCAGTCTGCGCAGGTTTGCCCGATGCGATCGATGGCGAGGTCAGGGGGAGGAGGGATACATTCTTGTTAGCTTCTTCCAGCGTAATGGCTCAAATAAGCTATTCGCCCAGATGCTCCAGCAAAACCGTTGCATTCAGCCCGAATAGTCAGAGGACCCCAACTACTGCTGTCTCCGGATCTGCCAATAACATGCCGTGACGAAACCTTGTTTTTGGCTAGACCCCATTTTTTTGGCTTAGATCCGAGACTCCAGGTTCTTCTTATGTTCCTTGGGACATAATGTTGACTCTGGTTTTAGTGAGGATTTATCACTTTTGAAGGGGAACACCCCCATACTAATAAACAGGGGTTTACTAATCCGGGGTCAACACTAAGCCCCTGAAAATCGCATCCGGATTTCTTTGAAGTGAACACCGCTTGAGGGCAGGGCTTTGGCATCCCGCGCAAGTTTTGCCCACAGGGAGCTGCATGGTATGTCCTGGGTCGCCAGACGTCTCAAGACAGGACCATCACAAAAAGCAAAGTGACAACAATTGTTTTGGAGTAGGGATTCCGGCAAATTGGATCATTATGGAACGTGAGATAGTGGAAATTGGGAGAATTGCCAGCTTTCCAGGAAGTACTTATTATATATATATATATATATATTATACATAGCCAGACACAATGGACTAAACAGTTGGAGCCATGTAAACAAACCCGCTACACTGTGACCCCTTTGGAGTCGAGTCACACTGAGTCACTTTGCTGCCGGCGATGGGTAGGAATTGCCATAGCCTCCAAGTAATTTCGATGGGGAGGTACTTCTACACCAAATTAAGCCAGATCCTAAGATATATTTTTTGTTTTGTCATGTTCCAGCTAAGCAGCAGTATTTGACGAAAGCGTGATGGGTACATGGGCATATCTGACACAGGCTTCCGGCTATGATGTTCTGCTCTTCTGCCAAAGCCGCTAAGCAGGGTGCTGTGACCCCCCGCTCATGGGTTCCAATGGACGATGATGCTTTGTTTGGATGCTGAACCAACAACGTATGTCCACTTAAGGTACGTTCAAGGACTACTGGATTCAAAGCAAGACCCAGAGTGACAGATCAGACCCAGAGACCAAAGGTTTGTACATGTGCCGCCGTTTCGGGCCGACCATTGCGCAATGCGCCGTGACCACAGTTGCCCTGAGGGCAGACTGAATTGGTTTAATTGCGCCCCTAAAAGTCGCTGGTGTTACCTTCATGGTGCCGGAGAGGGGGGGGCTGAAGAGAAGGAAGCTATACGTGTTTTCTTTGTGTGTCACATTTCCCGAGTTGGAGGGGAGGAACATTGGGGTCCTTAAACAGGTGAATTTGCCATGTCGTGGGCAATCAGTGCAGGTGACATGTTGGGGAGGAAACCTTTGTGATCCTTCCCATTAAGAGACCTGTGAGCATTGGCACCACCATTTCTTTTGCCTTGCCCGAACAAGTTGGCATGGTCAGCAGTGATAACTGCAATGACGACACAAATCCTTGATGACTTACGTACAGAAGGGAGGCGTCCGAAGTAATTGAACATCGGCTTCCTAGATTCTGTCGTAAGAGACACGTTGTCATGGTTCTCAAAGACACCGCTTTGGCCACGTCAACTCTAACTTGTTGCCAGGATGGTCTGTGCTTAGTAGGGAATGAGACATGGAATGAACCTGTAGATTCCCGAATAAAGGAAACCAAATGGGGGATGGTTTAAGCTTGGTCATTCCATGATTCCAACTCATGGCTTTGGCATCTCTCGATCCAGCCCAATGGAACCCCAGGCTTCGGTGTCTGAGAACCCAAGCGCCGAACAAATGTGGAGCACGTTGTTT